CGACAAAGCCTATTAACGGTGCCATCTTCATCTTCAACCCTCGCACTGGACAGCTTTTCTTGAAGATCATTCACACCAGTGTCTGGGCGGGTCAGAAGCGTCTGGGTCAGTTGGCGAAGTGGAAGACGGCCGAAGAAGTTGCGGCGCTCATTCGATCATTGCCTGTTGAAGAGCAACCTAAGCAGCTTATCGTCACTCGTAAGGGTCTTCTGGATCCTCTGGAAGTGCACTTGTTGGACTTCCCTAATATCTCTATCCGTGCTTCGGAGCTTCAGTTGCCCTTCCAGGCTGCCATGAAGGTGGAGAAGCTTGCTGATATGATTCTTCGGGCGACCGAGCCCCAGATGGTTCTTTTCAACCTCTACGATGAATGGTTGAAGTCGATCTCCCCCTACATTGCCTTCTCCCGTCTGATCTTGATCCTACGCGCACTTCATGTGAACATCGACAAGGCCAAGATCATCCTCAGACCCGACAAGAGTGTTATCACTCAGGAGCATCACATTTGGCCCTCGCTGTCAGACGAGGACTGGATGAAGGTTGAAGTGCAGCTCCGCGATCTCATTCTCAACGATTATGGCAAGAAGAACAATGTCAACGTTCAGAGCTTGACGAGCAGTGAAGTCCGTGATATCATCTTGGGTATGGAGATCAGTGCACCGTCTCTGCAGCGCCAGCAAGCCGCCGAGATCGAGAAGCAGCAGGAAGAGCAAAAGCAGCTTACTGCTGTTACGACGAAGACGCAGAACGTCCGGGGTGAGGACATTATTGTCACGACCACTTCTCAGTACGAACAGCAGTCCTTTGCCTCGAAGACTGAGTGGCGTACTCGGGCGATTGCAACATCCAACTTGCGTACGCGATCGAACAACATCTACATCTCCTCAGACGAGGTCAGAGATGAGGGTTACACCTACATCATGCCCAAGAACGTCCTCAAGCGGTTCATCACAATCGCCGATCTCCGGGTGCAAGTTGCCGGTTTCCTGTATGGTAGCTCACCGCCCGACAACGATCAGGTCAAGGAGATTCGCACGATCGTCATGGTGCCTCAGGTTGGCAACACTCGCGAGGTTCAATTGCCACAGCAGCTGCCTCAGCACGATTACTTGAACAACCTTGAGCCTCTTGGTGTGATTCACACTATCTCCGGAAACGAGCCGCACTATATGACGGCTGCGGATGTGACGCAGCACGCTCGCCTGATGAACGCCCATCCTTCCTGGGACAAGAAGACGGTCACGATGACTGTGTCCTTCACGCCTGGATCCGTCTCGCTTGCCGCTTGGGGACTCACTCCCCAGGGATACAAGTGGGGTGCTGAGAACCGGGATATGACATCTGACCAACCCCAAGGGTTCTCGACTAGCATGGGTGAAAAGTGTCAGCTTCTGCTCAGTGACAAGATTCGTGGGTACTTCCTTGTTCCGGAGGATAATGTTTGGAACTACAGCTTCATGGGAAGCTCCTTCGGCAGTGTGGAGAAGCGGCCAGTGTACGTCAAGATCGACACGCCGTTAAAATTCTATGACGATCAACATCGCCCGCTGCACTTCCAGAACTTCGCTGAACTGGAAGATATCTGGGTCGATCGTTCGGATAACTTTGCGTGAGTGATGACTTGGGCGTGGCGTTGGATGATCTTATGTAACATTCTCCTTTTTTCATGGGTTTCGATTTCTCTCTCTTGTAGCTGGCCTTGACACGTTTTGATTTTTCTTTTCTTTCCTTTTTCTCTTCTCCTTCCCTTCTCCGATTTGTCTTCTTTCAGCCGGAAAATCATTTCCCCCACATGTGTTTTGATACAGCGATTATCGGTTGACGTCTGGGAAAGAAAATAAGGGGTGATGATGATGATGAACCAGGGGGTTTCACTTGTGTTGCTGTACCATATTGTTTGTAGCCTATGTGGTTTTTTAGATGTTAATCAAACAAGACGATAATTGGTTGATCTCGAGGGATTGGATCTTGGCCAAGGTGTAGGTAAAGTGCGAAAGTGCTGTTACACTAAAGGTGTTTTCGTCCTAGGGGATCGACCATGTGGGTGTGGGTTAGAAGCTACCGTCAATCACCATCGGAGAATGATCCGTTTTTTTAATATCGGGACCATGTGTGAGTCCACTTAAGTAGGTTCGTCGTGGTAGTTGCTTAACTCAGTGAGGCCATGCAGAAGATTTTAAGGTGGATTGACTGGTCGCATTGCACCAGTGTGGGTTGGTTAATCTGTCCTCGACTCGAATCCTACGGAGTCAATGGACGAACTGAGGGACTACCCAAACACAGGAACACTTTGATTGTGTGTTGATTGTTTAATTGTTGCTTGTTGATTGTTGGTGGTAATGGGTGTGTGTGAGTGGTAGCGTTGTTTGCCTGATTCTTCTGCCTTTCTGCCTGCCTTTTTGCCTTCCCTTACTTTTTTTACCCCCTCCTCACCTTCTCTTCTCTTTTTCTGTTGTTGCCCTGTTGTGCCCGCCACAACAAGTGGGAAAAGTGCCCCGAAACCGACCCAGTTCCTCTGATTTGGATCAGCAACCTCGGAAGGGATTTTCTGTCTGCGTTCCCTACTGCCAATGCCTCTCTTTCCTCGAGCAACAGCAACAGCAGCTCCGGCTCCAGTCAGGCTCTCAAACTGCGCCTCTAGTTCGTGGCCTCAAACCACCGCCCGTTGCCCGTATTCCCGCCCACATCCGAGTCATCACCGTTCGTGCTATCTTTAGTTCCGAAGAACAATGGACTTATTATTCATGTCTAGCTTGCCGCTGAAACAAGCTCCTTCTCTCCGGTCTCAAATCTCCCCTCCAGTGGTTTAATGGGATCTAATCATCCCTCTCTGTTTCACCATTGCTTCAAAGAGCCCAAGCACTCCCCGGAATGAATAAAGTCAAAACAAGCCTGTCGGAAATGCTTGCCCTTGGGCTTCGCTGCAAGCCTGCAAGTGCACGATGCAGACTGAGCAGAGGTCCCCACACAAAGTTTGACTCCGAGACCAGTCCGGAGTCCGGAGCCTACGCCCAGTTAAGGCTACTTCGACACCAGGCGCTGGAGGGGTCTTACGTGTTGTGTATAAGCTCCTCTGCTCTACGCGTGGACATGATTCATGACAGCCGTGCTCATTGACTAAGTAGGCAATAGAGCGGGCTTAAAACCGCCCGCAACAAATCATCGGTGGCCCTTCATGCTCTAGGCCTCCATTCCCCCTCGTGCGCCCACACCCACTCACGGGCATAGACAATCATGACACCCACGCGCTAAGCTCTCGGCCTCCGACCGTTGTTGGGACTCGTCCTTCAGGGTGATCTAACAGACACGAGCAAATAAGGTTGACAGAAGCTCTCACGGAGAATTTCTTTCTCAAAGAAGAAAAAAAAAAAAAAAAAAAAAAAAAAAAAGGGTCAGTCCTGCTACTTGTTAATGGGTCACTTCACTGGTGTCTGTACGGAATTAAGGAAAAGCAGGGGAACATGGTCTCCCTGTCTAGTGACCTCCCCGGCGCAAGGACCCAAAGGGAAGATTCCGTGAGAGACCAGTCAGAGAGAGAGAAAAAGGGGAAACTCGACGTGGGCGAACGGTTGGACCTCGAAGCTGACCAGCCACAAATTTCTGGTGGGCGGCACGTTGCTTGCAGACCATATCCCGAACGGCTGCTGTATCTTTCGCTGTCTATCTATCTACCTATCTATCGACTGGATGGGTTGGTGGTGGTTGAGATCCCGCGCGCCCTGCCCCCCAAAAGGTCCAAACCAAAGCCTTTTCGGGGTTATATACTCTCCAAAACTCCACCATCCCTCATCAGAAAGGCTCGGCCGGAACTCACCTGCCTAGTCATGATGGCCCACCAAACAGCAGCAGACTAGCCCTTTTCCCGCTGATAATTCAACTCACTCACCCTGTTCAGGTGGATGTCTCGCACGACGACTGCTCTCTCCCCCCTCCGCCATTGGCGTTTCACTGGGTGGAGTTGCTGCGACGACCTACGACGGGCCTTGTTCTGACAGGGGGCGAATTCCCTGAGCGAGTTAGGAGCACGCCAGCAGCAGGTTTGGCTCCCTCAACTTGAACCCACAGAGCCCAGAGGCCACTTAACCCACGTTCGTATCCAATAAGTTAACTTAAGATTATGTTAGGCCTACGTATGGATTGGGCTTGGATCTCCCCGCTTCTAGCTGATCAATCCAGGGTGATGTCCAAACGCCGCCAGAAGCAAGCTGGGCGCCAATAACCCAGCCAAGAAGCGCCTCTTTAGACTCTTTGTCTATCTTAGTGTTTCATACTTGTATCTCCCGGCAGTTGGCTCTAAATTTCTTCTTCCACGACTGTCTGCCATGCCTTGGCAACCACCAGACGGCCCGGCGGAAGGCAAATCGTAGCCTCATCCTTCGACATCGCTGGCTCTGCTGGCTATGGCCGTTGTCCACACTGGGCCCCTATGCAAACTAAGCTTGACTGGAATGCCGATCCGTCAAATTGGGGATTTATTTTCCCAACCCACCTGCACCATTCTTAATTCGGGTTGTATGGGGTATCTCCGTGTCTCGTCGACAATCCCCCAGTATCCTCTTATTTATTACTTTTTTTCCTTTTCCAGAACCTGACAACTACCGCCCATTCTGGCTGAACTGGCCTATATTTCCTAGAATAAGTCGAGTGTCATTGCACGGGACTTTTACATGCAGCTGGAAGAGGTATCCCGGCATCGCCTCCACTTGTTTCTTCCCCAGTCTATTCTGCAATTCCAGTGACCGGGCTTGACGGGATTGCATCTCGGCCGGATTGATTGTTGGGCTCAAGATAGAGAGAGAGAGAGAGGACTGTGGCTTGACTGTAGATTCGGTTGAGTCGGAACCAATTTCGAGGTGCAGCACACTGATGCAGGGTTACTGGCAATTTCCGACAACTTGGTCGTCAACGCTTTTCTTGATATAGGTGAGTTTGCGTCGTCGCTTATATATCCATCCTGGTTTACCCTGTCACAATGGCTTGGTTCTCTCTCCTCATGTTGGCCAGACCCTGCGTCGCCTTCAACTGTTCCGCTTCTCTATTCAAATGTGTCCGGTTTCCTTCGATGAGGGCTCTTTACTTCCATCCATTCTCCGTGGGATGAACGAGTTCTTTGACTTGGCGCTTCGGTCTCGTCAGTCCGCTTATTTGGCCCATCCCTAACATCAACCAGTGTTGAAAAGTTTGCTCTCTGAACAACGTGATTCATCGTGATAAAGTCTACGAAACTGAGCCAGCGAGCGATCTTTACATGACGAAAGGTTTCGGTTGACACTCGACCTACGCCCAACTGGCGACGAACTCTCTTCACCAGTGGAATTTTTTTCGCGGCTTGATCTCATCTATTGGTGAAAGGGCCTCTCTCGAGACCGACACCCTCAAACTCACCTTTTAACATTTTCTAAAGCCGCGTTGAGCAGCCTGCCAGGGCTTTCAAGCTCTAGCGGCGCAGATGTATGTCCGCTACTCTGGCGGATCCGTATCGTGACTATGCGATTGATTACTCTCAACATGCTACCTGCAAACCTGAGCAGCAGGAAAGCACCCTTGTTTATCACACGCCACAACCGCACCTTCACCATCACAAGCAGGCCGAACCCCCCTACTCGCAAACAACCTCTCACAGCACGGCGGCATTCGAGCAGCATCATGCAAGTGCGACCGTGCTTCCAGCGGCGACGCCTCAGCCATCAGTCCATGACATGTCACAGACCGTTGTTCTCGGCCATACGCCGATGCTTCCACGGCAGCTTCCTGTCCAGTATCCCCCAACCAGCTTCGAGATCCCTCCACTGCAGCGTGGCAAGAAACGGCATCATTCAGAGACAGACGGAGAGGAGACAGACCATGGTCTCAGACCCCAACTCTCAGTCCTCTCCACAGATGGGCCGGCCGAGCATGGTCATTCATCGGAAATGCTCTTCTCTGTCCACGGCGCCTCGTCTCAGCAGCCCCCGATGGCAGGTCACGGCTTTGGGCACGCAGAATCCGTTGGGCTGCCGCAACACCATCATCACCATCGCCTCCCGCCCCATGCGGCGCTACGAACCCCTGGCCGCCATGGTATGAATGTGGAAGCGTCACCAATGCCCTCGGGTCCTCCGAGTGTTGTAGGCCAGCCCGGGATGCCTGAACCGGCTCCCAGGCCTCGAGGCCCGAAACTGAAGTTCACACCGGAGGAAGACGCCCTGCTGGTGGAATTGAAAGAAAACAAGAATCTAACGTGGAAGCAAATTGCGGACTTTTTCCCAGGCCGAACGAGTGGCACCTTGCAAGTTCGATACTGTACCAAATTGAAAGCAAAGGACGTGACTTGGAGCGATGAAATGGTATGTTTACCGGGCTGGTCCACACACTTCCTGTATTCGATCGCTTCGGCTAATGAATAAATAGGTGCAAAGACTGCAGCGTGCCCTTCAAGAATACGAGAACGACCGGTGGCGCATTATCGCAGGAAAGGTTGGCAATGGCTTCACGCCAGCCGCTTGTCGCGAAAAAGCGACGCAGCTTCAATGACTGTCACTCGGATATAATTTTGCTACGTCCCGTTACTCTGTCTAATGTCTCAAATAATGCGTTCATTTGTTACGTCCCTCCTCCCTGTGCACACATATATGTAGGAACCGGGTGCGAGGTTCATGGCGTGATCTGACACCAGAGGGTCAATGTACGGTAGATTGATAGTGTATGATAAGTCGAATTTGCTGCAGAATTGGGGGGGCCCTGCGCTGGTCTCACTCTGCAGGCGCTAATGCTCACTAGAGGCGTGGCTCGTCTCGTGGCAGCGGCCGTATTCGTCTGGCAGTGAGGCTAGACACTTCGCGGAGGCAAGGAAGCCAGCTCCGCAGGTGACATAGCCCTAAGCCCTAGGGCCATGTCCCAATCCAGCCTTTCTGCTCAACTGGTCATTAAGATCAGCCGTTGTAGCTCCGGAACCAATCAACCCACACGGCTGACTAACACCATACGACCACGGGCCGAAGCGGCTTCAAACTCACCTCAACCTCCAAACTCCCTCATCTCCAAACGTCTCGCCTTGCCTGCCGTCATTGCATCACTATCCACCAGGACAATGTTCCTCCAACGCACAGCCTTCGCCCTCGCCAGGCGCACCCCTACCCGGGCCATTGCTGCTCGTCCCTTCTCCTCCTCTGTCACCCGCTGTACGTGACCCTCGTCGTCAGACCAAGACCGCCTTTTCAGCCCATCCCAGTCACTATCGCCCGGTGTTTGTGTGCTCCAATGGCGCCGACATCGGTCAATTGTTTCTCATACTACATCCTCGGCATTGGTATATGCACTGACATTGGCTTTACACCTATAGTCGAGAAGAGCAAGAAGTGGGAGGTCAGCAAGGAGGGCAAGATCCTGTCTTTCGACGGTAGGTACCCGCATTTCCTCCCGTCGCGCAGACGTCGATTGTTCGAGCTTGCTCTGCTTGCACTACCTCTCAAACGCATCTTTTACGAGTGGCGAGTGCAATTGAGGTGGTGAGGCCAGGCGTCGAACTTCCGCGCCAGCGTTGTCCGGAACAGACGGGATCGTATGATGTTTCCAGTATATGATGCTAATTGTGTGCTTTCTTGTCCCACAGAGATCAAGACCGAGGAAGACCTTGTCCCCCCTGGTGCCAAGCCTGGTACCATTCCCACCGACATCGAGCATGCCACCGGTCTCGAGCGTCTCGAACTTACCGGAAAGATGCAGGGCATCGACATCTTCGACATGAGACCTCTGGATGCCTCCCGCAAGGGTACGTCAGATTCCCGGGCCGTGGATACACAACCAACTTTGGTTTCTAGTCCTCTCTGACATTATGGTCTGCAGGAACTCTTGAGAACCCCATCATCGTCAACGGTGCCGGTGATGAGCAGTACGCTGGTTGCACTGGTTTCCCCGCCGACTCCCACCAGGTCAACTGGCTCACTGTAAGATATATATTCGACTCGCTTTGATCAATCAGTGACTGACTGGCTAGGTCTCCCGTGAGCGCCCCATCGAGCGCTGCGGCGAGTGCGGTAACGTCGTCAAGCTGAACTACGTTGGCCCCGAGGAGGACCCCCACGCTCGTAAGTCATAGCCCTATATTACATCATTGCCGGCAACCTTACTAACGACCGCCATCACCAGACGACCACCACCACGGCCACCCTCCCCACGTCGAGCCCAAGACTTTCGCCGACTACGTCAAGCCTGAGTACTGGTACCGGTAAATATTTGACACCTCAATAATGGAGCGATTGTCTTGTTCTTGACCCATTCGAATAACGGGGACGGGGGATGGATTGTTTGCAAATGGATTCGGTATAAAAGACAACTCTACGTGTACAAAGACAAGGGCAGAACAGAGGAAGAGCGAATGAGCGGCAGGGGATCTTCGAGAGGGAACGCACAGGACGAAAGATACCAGAAAATCCCTATTGGACGGGCTAGCAGCAGCAACTGGTCTGATTTCTTTTTCGAGATGTGTGCGTATGAGCAAACTCGCGTGGCTTTTTCTAAATTCCCCTCTCTTCTCCCGACATACCTTTTAGACGTCGGGGATCTCTCTTGAACCCCTTCTCGTTTTTCGTTCTTGTTTTCGTTCCGCCCCTGTCTGCCTTTGTATGTTGTATGTTTACTTTGATTGATCCCTTGCATTGCTTTCGATATAGGTTCGGTGTGTATTGTGTCTGTTTGAAACCTTGTTTGTCTTCAAATGCCTTTGCGTGTGTAGAATAAGTAGTAGGGGGGTCGTTCCTGTCTGTGAAAGAAGAGGTTGTTGCCATGCTATATATGATTTCACCCTCGGAAGTTAAACTATTTCGAAAGCCCTAATGGTCATACCTAGGTAGGTAGATAGGTAGGTAGGTTATATTGTGGAGTAGTATACGCTTATCCGAATGATGCACCGTCCTTGATGTCATCGACCTACCTTACCTACCTGCAGTACCTACCTCGCTATCCGCCCTTCGAAATAATTCAAGAAAAATCCCTTACCTGAATCATGCTACTCAAGATAAAATGTACAAAATAGATAAACCTGAGACAAGACCGCACCAGCTACCACCCACCACAACAATTCCAAATCCTGAAATTCGATCCATCATCTAGGGGGCCATCGGAGAAGAGGGGGAGCGGTCAGAGTCACGATAGCCGCCAGCCAGGCAGCCAGGCAGTCTAAGTGGTGGTGGTGGTGATGGTGGTGGTGGTGGCATGATGTGACGGACTCTCACTCAAGGTCATCGAGGGAAACTCGAGTCCAGTGCAGGACAGGGCAGGGCAGTCCCCGGACCGGCGGGCCGGCTTTCTCGCGCGGGCGCCGGGGAACATCCATTCATTCATCCAGTTGTTCAACCATTCAGTCAGTCAGTGCTTGATTGCAACGGCCATCGAAAATCAATCGGATAAACCGTGTGCCAGGTCATGCATCTCACGTATCTCTAATTCTTTTGGAGAACTCGTTTTTATTTGTTCCTTCTTTTTTTTTATTTTTTTTTTGTTTTTTTTTGGAGTTGAAATCGATAGGTAAACAGCCTCCCGAGTCCCAGCTCTAGAATACTTAGTCCAAGTACTCCCGCTGGCTCCAATCTCGGATCGATTACCTAGATAGTCTGTTTAAGCTTAGTGCCATGTTCATGTTGATGTTGATGCTGATGCTGAGCGCGGCCCGGAGGATGGGTTTTCTGCCTGATTAGGCAAGAGCCTCGGATACTTATCGTCTATTCATCTATCCATTGAATTTACTTACACCTATGAAGTGACTAGATGGATTATGATCGGACAGGACAGGAGAGAACTAAATCCTAAGGTTAGGACTTCTAAGAGTGATCGATGAGGTTCTCAATGTGGTTTGTTATTGTTTATCGTTGCTGTTCTTTTGGCTTGGGGTTTTTAGCTTACCGTATTTTTGGGACAGAGGTACTTACGAGTAGAAGTGAAGTGGGGGCGATTAGGGTCGCGGAATCTCAATGCCGAGTTTCGTTTCATCAAAGTGTGATTGATGGATGGATGGGCGGGTTGAACCGCCATGATGGAAGACGGGTCTTGCAGTGATCGTTCTCGGACATTTCTGTGAACCTGTACTGTACCCGTCTTATTTCTAATCTACCCTGGTGCGTTATTTGTGGTTGTTATAGTTGATTGATACCAACGAAACTACAGCTTGATAATGGACTGGTCAGCAAACTCCTTTGACGCTGCTGGTCTTCGGCCGTGGCTGTGATTCTAGACTTATTCATGGGGTGAAGTCTTGGGTGTGGATTTGGTGCTGTGTGCAGTTTGGTGGGGTCGTGCGGTGTGAATGGAATTTGTTTTTCTTTCGCTTGAGGTTAGTTATATATTTGAGTACTTTACGGGTCGAGGTACTCCCAAAATCAACTTTGAAAGGCAAGTCATCTCACAACAGAGGCCATAATAATGCAATATCAAATGCCTGTATATGAATACCTTGGACTTGCTTCTATCTATACAGATTACACTGCCCGGGATCCTACTTCTATATAGTGACAAATAGAGACTAGTGATGAACACACAGACAACATCTTCGCTTCCCTGGCACCCACGCTATAGTAGTAGAAAGTATAACTTTTGAGCTCCGTCTTGAATCCCTCCTGACCCTTCGATCAACTTGACTCGTTTTCCCCATACATCACACACCGACCCACGCTTTTCAATGCTCGACTAGAGACCATTTCCTTCTCAGAGTGCTTCGAAATCACCGACCGAAGTAACGCCGTTCGATGTACCGAAGAGGAGGATACACAAGGCCCGTCCAAGAGAATGCGACATAGATGCCCATCTATATCACACGTCAGTGAGAACAGAAGCAGAGACGATGACAGGAAAGAACTTACATCGGCGCCATATTCGCCCACCAAGCGCGCAATAGGTCCGATATACCACACCTGTGCCATGCACAGAACTGCACCCGCCCAGCCAACCAGGAAAGCAATCAGAGCGGCGATACCGACCGGCAGTTTGGACGGATCGTTCCACGCGTACCAATTGTAGCCAGAACGGAACCGAAAGATGAACCGCTCCTCAAGAATGATGACCACCCACATGACCACCCAATAGCCCATGAGAGCCAGGAAATTGGTGAAGATATTAGAAAGGTTGCTTCGACCGGCCAATGCGCACACAGTGAATATAACCGCTCCAAAGGTGTTCCAAAGCACCCGCGGAACCTTTTCGGCATATCGGCCGAGAATCTGAAAGTCGACTCCCGCAGAGTAGGAGGGAGCTACCGTGTTCGCGATCAAACCGAGAGCGACAACCACTGAGCAGAATTTGCCAAACCCACCAAGTGGGCTGAACCCCTCGACAATGAGTGCTCCCGCGCCAACGGAGTAGGCTTTACTGTATCCCGCATGGTTGGCGATGCCTGACCCGAGGCCAGCACCGCAGATAATTGCCATGGTGAAGGAACTGGTTAGCCCTGCCAAAGAAAGCGAAGAAAGCGCCCACTTGGAAGTTTGCTGGGGGTAGTAGACAAAGAAGTCCGCTGCAAGTGGTGTGTAAGTGATTGCTGAACTGACACAGAGGGAGAAGAATGAAAGTCTAGATTGTAGAGTGTCAGCATTGAACAAGAGTTCCAGTATTGAATTGAAGATCCCACCTATTCCCAGCGATCGTGCGAGCATCTCCCGTGGACGGGGTCGAGAGATCGAAATTTTTGGCTGATACACCAAACAGTATAGATACAACAAGAAGCTGAGGAAGGAACGCAAAGCTGGAAAAGTCAGTAAAAGACATGCGAATGCAATCGGATTTCAGCCCACCGTTCATAATAGTGGAAGACCTGAATGCCGAACGTAGCGATGACCCAGGTGATAATAGCAATGATCACGATACCTTCCGGATTATCAGTAAAGTTGTTAGAATAGGATGAGGAATTGACAACATACCGACAGCCACCGACATGTTTCCATGCGGGGACACAGCAGACAAGATTTGACCACCAACAACTGAGTCAATCAGACAATAACCAAGCATCTGAATCAAATTCAAGATAACAATGAGCTTGCTGGGCCACCACCCCATAGAGTAGCGTCCAAATGCCTGAAGACAGGGAGTTTAGCCAACATGTTCGTGCAGACCCTTCCATTAGAACCTACCATAGTCCGAATCCCGGAGACTGGGCCCCGAGTAGCCATCCAGGCGGCCGGGATGCCACCAAGCAAAGTACCGAAAACGGCACAGAGGGCCGTGTCGCGGAAGCTGAGGCCATAAGTAGCAGGGCCAAGCATACCCAGAGTGATGTTGTTGGCTGCCAGATTGATAGAGACCCAGAGCAGGAACGACTGCAGATATGCAACCCAGGTCAACTTGGCCATCCGCTCGTTCTCCGGCACCCGTTCGATACCTCGAGCCTCGAAGTTATACTCAACCAATTGCTGCTCGAACCTCTTGATATATGAGGCCAAGCGCGTCGGCGCACGCGCCGTGCGGTCAATGTTTTCTTCGCCATTGTCCATGGGACGTGGCGTATCATAGCCTGACTGGACATTCGCAATGTCCTTTTCAGAGTAACGCCTCATGGCGGCGTCTGGTTGTTCCGAAGGCATGCTGTTATGGTTGGGTCAGTAAAGACCTAAAAGTAGAAAGGGTCAGGGATAGAGCAGAGCGCGCATGAGTCCTTTCGCTGGAATTATCCAGATCAAGTTCAACCGTATAATCTCAGAACGAACAACGTAGTTTAATTCAAACTTTCCTAGGAAACTCTTCCGCGTGGAAGACAAGAGTACCTGCCCCCCACACCGACGCGGGGAGCGCCCCCAGGTAGTTTGTGTAACGTACAGTTGTCGAACACCGGTCTTCATGCAGGCAGATTACCTAGATACCTTGATCGACAGACAAAACCACGCTACTCGTCTTCATGGTAGCCGTCCCTTGCATATGGTTCTGTGAAGAGACGGGAGGGCTGTACTGGAACGTTGTGATTGCGATGGGGGAAGGACTGTGGCGACCAGACCTGGTTCAACACGATCTCAATCATGCGTCAGTCATACTCATTCCAGCAAAGTTTGTGGCGAACCCTTCTTTTTCGGGAGGAAGCAGACAACCTAATGGAATGCAATGCAATGAATCATTTGCGAACTGACCTTAGTACTCGACAGTGAGCAACTGTCTAATGTGCATCAAAAATCTCCTAATTGTAGGCAAAGAACCTGGGGGGTGTGATAATGGGGGAGAAGAGAGTGGGAGAGACCGACGTCGTCAATGACTGCAGGATGATGAGGGAAAAGGTGGAGCGGGTACAACAAACATCCCCCAGATAGATTTTAACAGCAGCGGCGGCGGGGTCGGGTCTGGATCGAGTCATCGGTGGGGGATGCGGCGGCCGCGGACTTGCCCGCTGCTCCTCGCCGCCGCGCCGCCGCCGCCTCCCCGATTTCGGATCACATTTCCCACCACTAAGTTTACAGCAGAACGCAGGTACACTACCCATGTACATACATACACATCCACATAAGGTACACTTTGCTTCAACTTCCCACTAGATCACAGGTATCCTCTTGTCGACTCGCCATGAATGAAGCTCCAGTCAAAATTGCTCTTTGGGCCGACGCCGTTTATCTGCAGCATCCTTCCGTTCGCTAGCGGTCTGCAGGGTTGCTTTGCATGGCGTCAAGGTGCATATTTACAATGTTCTTGATCGCCTACTATAGAGATCTTACCCACTCTCAGGATCTCTGACCCATCCCTAAGTCTATTTTGAGTAATGGAAGACATACGAGACAGGGGTTTCAAATTCACCAACGATGTATATCATAAAGTCAAGGTAGACAACATCCCTCAAGAAACTGGAAGACGCAAAGCAGCAAGATAAGGTGAAAGGTGAAAAGTGAAAGAACTTGTGAACTAACAAAGAGTAAAGGCAAACCAACTCCGACAACCCTTCGCCCAGTGCTTTGCAAACTATAGTGGAAACCGATGTGACTATGGAAACACAGGCTCAGAGCAACATAAATCATATCCCATGCCTTAGAGCGACCCGGTAGGCAAGAAAATGCAGATGGATGGTCATCACGTCGTCATCTTTCGTAAGCTCTAGAGGTCCTTGAAATGTTCTTTCGCATACTGTTCACATGCCTATGTTGAGATATGTCAGTAGGTTGTACTGGGCCTAGTCACTTTGAGAACTCGCCTTGGCTGGCTTCCCAACTTTCTGCCCGATCACTTTCCACTTGTTCGCCTCGTATTCCTTGATCGCATCACGGAGCGCTATGGACTATCCCCAATGCTATTAGTATTGGACCAGCGCTACTTGATGAGCCATCTGTCCTTACCTCGTCTTCCGCAAATTCGGCGTAGTGCATGTCCTGTGACGTAAGTCAGAATCACATTTGCACCGGGAGCAAGTTAAGGTAGTAAGCTCCCTACCTTATACCAATGCTTCTTGACACTACCCTCGGTCCGAGTGGGAAAAGTCTGTGAAGACCCAGTACAACCAGGTTAGCACGCTTCAAAGTGGTACAGAACCGGTCGGTGCACCTTGGCAATTTCGCTCCAGCTGCGACCAGCATCGCGCATAGTCTTCAACCGTTGCTCCTCCTCTGCGGTCCAAGGAGTATTGGTTCGTCCTTTTTTCTTCGGTGTAGGCTCTGCTATTCCAGACCCCTGTTCATGCCCGGGCTCGCCTCCAGTCCCGGTCGCACCTGGCGCTGGCATGGCCGCCGTAGTGCCTGCTGGTGGCGAAGCACGGCGTTTGCGCGGATTCGGCGGCGGAATCTGAGTTTGGGGCATAGGAATGCCCTCGTATGAAGGCACTCGAGAGTAAGGATTAACTTGTTGCGGCGCTAACAGATGGGATGGTGCGCTGGCGGGCACGGAGGTCTTAATCCGTTTCGATGTTGGAGGGGACCTGGTGTGATAGAACAATCCGAAGGCGTCAGTGCCAGAGACGTGACTAACACATTGAAGGAGGAAAAGGAAAAAAAGAAATAAAGAAGCGGAGATCGCCAGAAGCGAGGATACAAGGGTTGGAATAGATAAGAAGCCGAACGATGATGGTGGTGGTGGTGGTGATGATGATGAAAGTAATAGTAAGTAAAATAACAAATACCAAGAAATGATACTAAACACAATAACAAAAATAAGAAAATCACCAAGAAAAGTTCAGTCGATTTGTGAATCAGCAGGTAAGGACAGGGAAACACCCCAGGTGAATAAGAAAAACAAAAGCAGAGGGCGAAAATGCAAAGCACATGACTTGGGTTGGGAAAGGGTCCCAAAAAGGTATATATGGACAGAGAACAACCCTGAAGCACTTCGCAGCCCTAAAGCTAGCTTTGCTGGATGCTTGGGAGGACGAAGGGTGACTTACGACATGGTTGAGGATATGCAGTTTTCCCAATCACGCTCCGTCGATTCATCTGTAAGTACACATGCTTAGGAGATTAGCAAATCCGCTATTCAAGGAACGCGCCGTGTAGATCGTCCTCTCAAGTCTAGGGAAGCGAGCGCCTGGTTACACCAAAGTGACGATGACACCAGTGCATCCTACGGCATGGCAGATAGCGGCGCAGGAAGGGAGGTGAACGTCAGGAGAGAAGGGGAGAGTCGACAAGAGTGTTACATGCATGTGTGGAAGTGGTCGGCAGCGAGGGACCTGGAGATGAAGCACGAATTTGAGTAAGAAGGAGAGCGATACGAGAAGAGAGGAAAAGAAAGAAAGGGCGGGAAGAGAGGGTGAGAGGGAGGAGAGGGGAAGGCAAGCAAGTGAAGGGCAAAAAGAAAACAAATATAAAACAGGTTTAGGCACAATCACAAGTAGACCTCTCGAGCATCTTAGGATACATAGGCTGGAAATAGTACGGAGGAATACTGGAGTTGCGATGATAAGACGTTTTGGTCAGGACAAGTGGAGATGGAGACCAACAGAGAGTGCAAAGAAAGGCTTACTGGTCGAAGTTCATGATTCGAAATGTCTCGGGCTTTTCCTAATAGGTAGAGACGAAGTAGTGATCTGGTTGTTGGGTATTCGATTAACTGACAGGATGAGGCTGGTCAGGAAAGTAGGCAGGTAGGCAAAAGTGTAGTAAGTGGGATAACGAGAATAGTATAGTAGTCAATGGCTAGGTAGGCAATCAATCGGAGTCCTGAGCGGGTGGAAAATAGTTAGTAGAAGGTAGTCAGTGGTATGAATGATCGTCGTCGTTTTGATCGTGAGCGTAGAAGAGATGATCAGCAAGTAAATAAGCAGGCAAGATCGAGTCAACCAGAGGTCAATGATACATGTCTTTACATTTGCCGGTTGAAGTAGGGAGTAGATGTCGGTACCCGAATTGGAAGGTATACTAAGGGAACATTCGGAAGAAAAGGAGGAAGAGGAGAGAAAGAGAGAGGGAGAGGAAGGATTTGTTTCTGTCGCCGTGGACTAAAAGAAGAAAAATAGAAACGAGACCTGCAGAGAGAAAGGAACTGGAAAGAAAAGAAGCAGAAGTGTAAGGCGAACGGCAAGTGACTGACGGATTGACAGACAGACAGACAAGACTGACTACTGCTGAGGGGAGATCCGAATCCACTCCATAGCCAAGCAGCTCCAATCTCACCAATCCCGCGAGCTCCGACTCGTGTTTGCTTTTCTTTCTCCTTAGCAAGCGTGGATAAAGTCAATGATTACTCCCCTACACATTACCTAGCAGATGCTAGCTGATAAAGGGAGGTCAAAAAGGCGAGAAGACTGGCAGGGTGGTGTTTCTGCACACCACTGCGTGGCCCCATTATACCCAAAAAAGCAATTCCCCTCTTCATCCTTCCAAGCCAGACTTGGACCGGTGGTTTCGCTTGAACGGGCAAAAATGTACAGTACAGTCCCCGAGTCCCATCGCCAGCAATGATTTTTCCCCTCTTTGATCGGTTGGAATCCCGGATCGATTTTCTAAAGAACGGCAGAGCACTACGCCAGTCATGATTGAAGGGGTTGAGGTGACCTATGGGGAGGGGAGGAGGGGTTGTGCGTCTGACCTTTGACGCCTACCTACTCATCCTTGTACTCACATACACAGCACCTATACTACTTCGAGATCCTCTCCGTTTGCTCCGTTCACTCTCCCCAACTGATGGTGCCGCATCCGCTCAGATCATTTTATAATCCTCCTCCTCCTCCTCTTCATCATCATCATCATCATCATCATCATCATCATCATCATCATCATCATCATCATCATCATCATCATCATCATCATCATCATCATCATCATCTTCTTCTTCTTCTTCTTCTTCTTCTTCTTCTTCGAGAGAGAGAGATAATCGATTGCAATCGAAGCTCAATTTCCGCGCATCCATCAGCCACACATCGCGCATCCGACTCCAGTCTATGGACAAACAAGACAGGGAGCGATGATGCCGGTGGCGGCGACATCCGGTCCATAGAGCCCGCCATCTCGGTTTCCTTCGCCAGGTTGACCTGGCATTGCTGCAGTGTTCAGGTAGGCCAAGCGGGTGGACAAGACCAGTGAGGGGGGTCTGGACTATCCGGTGACTGTGAGCACGTCTACAACTTGAAACGAACAGATTTTGGTCTGCAATCTTGAACCTTGGCAGACCAGCAAAAGAAGCAAGAAGGTGCATCTCGAAGGCTCAGGGATGCTAGATGCTGAATTTCACTGTCGACGTGGGCTCTAGCCTCTGGCCCTTCCCAATCAGATGCACTTGACGGGAAACGCTGAGAGCGGGGTAAGGATCCCTGGACACCACCGACTCCTCCCACTAGGGCTCCCGTTTGTCAATCCGTCCTCTCTCCATTATTTCGATGGCTCCCACCCCGTCTTCGTTGTCTATCCTTCTCCGTCCCATCTATTCTGAACAGGGTCTGAGAATTCTTTGATGCAAGATCGGCCGCTTCTGCGATCTGGACTTTCATCTTTCAAATGGACTACACTGGTGCCCGCCCGAGTCCTCGATCCTACATCTCCAGGTTTTCGAGGCATGCATCTTATCTACGCCCGCCCAGTTAGCTCCCTCCTAGACAAATTGGAAAGATCTACGGTAGGTCCGTGAACCGTTATTTGACACCCTGTGTGGTTCTTATGAGCTCGGTCCTACCGAGGTCATTGGCAGTCGAACTTTCGGGCTTACCGTCGCGTCCATGACGAAACTCATACTAAGATGAGACATTGTGCAGGAAGTCTCTTTGGTGGCAGTGGATGCAAGGATGATCAAGAGATCAATATAGACTAATAATGCCCGTGGTTCTCGAAGAGCACGCATCTGAAAGAGGGCTATCAACGATTCGTCGCCATTCTATCGACCAACTACTACCTTTATACAATTTTCCATCGCAGTTCATAGTATGTTCAAAGCCCTTCGGGGATGGTGCGGTTACTCGGACCAGAATGATATGGATGCTCTTATCCCATGCTTGTGACAGACTACTCATTTAGAGTGCTCAGTGTTGTAGTCTTAATTTCTAGGGAAAGACTTGCCATTGCATTAGGTGATCTATGCTTATCTCAATTCATGGAAGGGATACTAACGGAAAAAGAAGCTTGCTGTATGCGTATGTTCTCTAGACATCGGAACTGTCGTGCACTCCATCTCCAGTCGCTATTACCAAACGTAGTCTGTCACATATTAGCTCAACCCAGATAGTTATCTGATCGAAGTACCAAAATTCCATGCGTCAAGGGTTTGTCTGGTATAGTGGCTGGATATTGGCTACACGATACAAACATATGATTTGTCTGTAGTAGGGTCAACTTGCCTCCAGTGCTCAATGCGCTTTAAAGCATAGGTCGAGAGCGTGCTATCACGTGCCCAGAATTTGGATCTACTTTGGATCAAATAGGACGAAATACATATGGATTCGTGGGAAGCCCTCGAGTATACTAGCTCAATGCAACCCATTATCTGAAAGCGCAAAGGGGTTTCTGAGGCACGACACACGTGCGCACAATTACCGATAGGGATGTACCGTACCTGGCCGAGTCCCACGAATATGTTGAGACTACTTAAATTGTTTGACCTAAAGGGCAAATCAGCGTCATGCATTCTCCCATGTCCTCAAGTTGGCCTTCGACGAGCCTTAAAATATGCTTGTTGACCTGAAGTATGTATGTGTAATCAAAGTCTACGCTACTCAGTAATCAAGCCTAAAGCTTCAAGATTTGTTTTTGAGAAGAAGCGGTGACGCGCTTGATGATACGTCGATTCAATTGATGCAAACAGTCATGGCAACATGCCCTGACCAAGAAAGTGCACAGGTAAACCACAAGTCTTATACTGCAGACAACTAATAATGAGAGTTTGTACTCCAGAGTATACTGACTACATGCAACTAAATCCTTGCTGCTAGGCCAGAGAAGAACTACTATATGGTTGTGAAGCTATATTGAGCAATGGATAAATGCTGACGTCATCTGACTGACAGATAGCTAACTGATCACGTGCTAGACACGCGGCCACGGGAACATCCCCAGCTTGAGGTGGTGGAGCCCGGTGACGGGGAGCTTCCCCCTTCGTTGAGACCAGATAAGAGAACCCATCTCTTAAGCTTCACAGTCACCACTTTTTACCGTTGCTCCTGTTACGAACTATATATAGCCCATCTAGTGGCTACTGTGTCTCCTACCTGAAAGCAGGCTGCCTGGTGCACCGTTCTCCTGACTACAATTCGGGAAGACAGCCCATTATCCCGGATCGGGCCTTCTTGATAGCGAAGCACGGTCCACAGTTAGTCACACTACCTTCCAGTGACCTATCTGGGTGGTCTCAACGGTGACACTTGAGACTCGAGAAGAAGAAATTCAAATTGTGACTCTGGACACCCGAGCTTAGCCAGCTTCTATACCTGAGCAATCATGTTGAACATGAATGTGTTTCGCCTCCTGGGCGACTTTTCTCATATCTCGTCGAAATGCGTCCTGATATGGGCCATACATCGGAATCAGAGCGCTGAGGGTGAGTCCGCCGTGACACGAAGCTAGACTGTCCATGATACTGACGTGATGTACTACGCTGCAGGTGTTTCACTCCTTACTCAGATGCTCTATGCCTTAGTCTTCGTAACTCGGTACCTCGATCTTTTCCGGAAAGACGGCTGGCATTATTTCTACCTTGTGTTCTTCAAGCTATTCTATATTCTATCATCATTCTACGTCATCTATATAATGATGAAGGTTTTCCCCCGAACTCGGGAGAAGGAGAGGGCCTGGAAATTGGCCATAATCTCCGTTGGTCTATCCCTCGTTTTGGCCCCTGTCTCCATCGCTATCTTCTATCGTGGCTACCCTCCCCGGTGGTTCAGTGAGGTGAGTTGACTCATGACTATTTTACTCTGAATCACATTGCAGTACTAACGGACTGTGAATGCGCGGCGTAGACATCCTGGGCCTTCTCAATCATTCTCGAATCCGTCTGTGTCCTCCCCCAATTGCTGCTCTTGCGCCAGACCACCGTTCCGACCGTCATCAACTCATATTACCTGCTTATGCTGGGATCATATCGGGCATTCTACATTTTGAATTGGCTTGTGCGCGGACTGGGCGCCGAGGGCCATTGGGATATGATCGCCGATATATTTGGGGTTGTTCAGACCGCTTTCTATATCGACTTCGCCTGGGTATACTACTCCCGCCAGCGTGTGAAACTCCGTAACGGAGGGGTGGTTGACTCGGACGACTTCCGCCACAGCTGGCTTGTAAGCAAAGTGCTCAATTTCAGACAGCGGAGGGTGGCGGATGAGGAGCAGAGTCTGAATGATGACGACTTTGAAGAAGAGAGGGTCAACGGGGAAAGACCAAAGAACAACCGGTGGGGGGCAAGAGGGATCTCAGTCTCCGCTGACGACACGTTGGAGGATCGACGGCCCGATGCCCATGGCTCGAGCCATGATGATGGTCTAGAAGGGTTCTCGGATGACGAGGAGGGTGATGACGCTCCACCGTACCAAGCGAACAAGGGTGCTGGGGCTGCTGGCAGTCGGGACTGAACTGCTGAATCGTTGGGCCATGTATAGATCTTTGATGCAGATTTACGTCCCCCTCTTACTGTTTTTCGAGCACGGATCTTGGTTCTTGGATTCCATTGCATGTCTTCCTATCTTCCTAGCTATATTATCATCCTTAAGTGACCCCCAATGTTACGTCAACTAATTTCCGCGATTCCAATTCATTCTAGAAGACACAGTAGCGGCGAGTGACCACTGATCGTCCATACCGCGTTAGGACTAGAATCATCTCAGGCTTCACGCGGATCGAGCGGGATGGGTTGTTCATTCGTATATTCAGGATATGGCAACATGTCATTGCAGGATTGGGATGAAGTCATCCTCAAGGGATTCGACGTGGGGATGAAACAGGTTTTAAGAGAACGACCCAAATGTTTCAGAGTTGACCTCTGAGCGCCCTGCTGCGCCTGCCCATAGCCACGGCTAGGTGTTTGAGGGCCTGTACATGGATGCAGCAGATGGGCGAAAAGTGTTACAGAGTTGCGAAGGGGGGTGTAAGTGTAACGAGTGGACAGAGCATCCACGGGGGCCATTTTGTCCTTTTGACTTTCTTGGGTTTAGAGGGCAAAAACGCCTGGGCGACAACCTTGCACTACTACTCGGCATAGCCGGGGATGTGGCCTGTCATCATGATGGGGGTTGGTCGACCTCAGGCTTCCCCGTCAGATCCCCATGGAGCAAAAATAGCAATCCTTTTTAGTGTCCACGGTTTAGCGGACATAGCCGTTCATGAACTGGAAATGATGAGGTAGCATACACTATACTAAAACAGGAAGCTGTGGGGAATTCGTGACATCACGTGTGCATCACGGGGTCTCCGATCGGTTGACAGGCAGAGCGAAGATCTTCCTTCCCACATGGCGATTGTGCCATGGACTACCCATGGTTGCAATCATGATACGCCGGACACCGACCGTTCTATAGGGCCAAATGCAAAGGACCCCAGAGAAACACGACGGGGAACCCGTCGGCACCAGATTTGCCGGCCATTCACTTTTCCAGAAGGGTGCTTGATTGATTCCAACCCATTGCCAGCTTCCTCTCGTGCTATCTCCGTCCGGAACGCCCGTGCCATCATCGTCCAGTGCGGGATCCGCGTAGCACGGCTGGAAGTCGATGGTCGATAGATGATACCTCTACAATCTCTCTCAGGAAGGCTATCTCCGTCGCTTCTGGCGCGTACTTGGTCGTTTCCCTCTTAGACACGTGGCTTAGGTAGAATGCAGACAGCCGGTCGACTCGGGTACGGAGTCACGAACGTCTGCGCCTCGAGCTTTAATTTCTGGATGATACCTCAACGTTGTTGTGTTCCGACCAGGTCAGACAGTCTAAAGACTCAGCACGCATTCGGATGAATGTGATATGCAAAACACGGACAGAAAAAGAAAGAGAAGAGAAAAAGAGGCCATGCTTCAAGCAGAACCCTACATCTGTTCATCTCAGGGCCGGCAGACAGACCGACTTGTTGGTCAGCTCTTATTTTTATTTTATTTTTATTTTTTATTCCCGTTTCCCTTACGAGATTTCCGTAGGGCGAAGTCGAAGATCGCAAAAGCATGTCCGAGTCTGACAAGCCTGCCCAGCCTGGGATTAGTTTTGACCCATTTTGATCCACCGGGATTTACAGCCGCAATCACGACGAAGCGCTTAATGGTCTATCTACCCTGCCCGTGGGATCCCTACCCCCTTCCCCAAGGAAATTGACTACTTTATTTCTCTGTTCCTTGATGTCTTTCTCCTGGTTTCGCTTGACTGTATCTTCCCAGAGCTTTCCGAACAGGATCTAGCCTCGTCCACTAACCAAGCACGAGGATCCTGGCCGATGACTTTCCGTCATTGGGGCTACGTTTTGCAGCTTGTCAATTCGTCCGCCCTCGCCCACTCTCCACCTTCGTAGCCGCTACAGGAGCTGCCATGCGTTCATCTGCCAGTTGGGCCTTGGGAATAATGAGTTCTCTCTTTCCAGCATACCTCTCTGACGTCCTTTCTGGGCTAGCTAATGAATTGTAATTTGAATTTCTTTTTTCCTTTATGCTCTTTTTGGACGGTTTTGCATCGATAGCGGCTACCCATCTATGTATCGGTCAGCTCAAGCGCTAACCTGTGGGCTGCCATTTGATATGGCGATTAAGCGGCGTCACGATGTCAAACCTCGTACGTTTACCCTGACATAATTCTACGAGTTCTACCCTGGAGATCCAGGGCATCGGCACTAAGATCGCAGTAGGTGCTGCCTTGCTCTTGAGTAACGGTGAGTGGGCCTGGGAATGCAAGTCTGAGCCCCCGAGGGTTTTTGGGGGCTGGATTGCTCCGTCCTCATGTCATGAGCAACGATGAGAGATTACTCTTTCCAGTTTCTCTCCCTTTTCTCGGATCATGGCTCTGTTCTATCAGAAATATTCAGGCGCTTAAATGCAGGCTCACCGTCGACTTTACACCTCCCGCCAGGAACAATTTTGTGCGGCACAGCAATAGCGGGCGGTACTTACTATGGTTTTTCAAGCTCGCTGAGCCTGTTGACAAAAAAAGCTTCAAGCTTCTGGCCCTGCCTTGCGAGGCACTTCGACCTTCTTCCACATTCCTTTCTCCAACTCAAACTATATGAACACGCGCAGACTCTGTCATTTATACACCCTTTCTTATCTATTCTGCAACCAGCCAGATCGACAACCACTTTTCCTTTCTGATATCATCTCGACATTGTGAGGTGTGGATCAGCCTCGGACTATCTTTGTCATTGCGATTGGTGGCCTGACTGCCTATATATCTCCTCGGACCTTTGCCACCGCTCCGGAGGTCTACTTTACGTCCTTCCTTCCGTGGTTTGACCACCGTTTCATATACTCATCCACCATTCCGTCACTCATCCACGAAGAGCCCCAGCTGGCTACCACCATGTATCCACAAACCCCAATTGGGTACTCGGGACCGGTAACCTTCAGCCATGGTGGTGTCGACACTGGGGAGGGGATCGAGGACTACTATGCAGCGATGCAACCGCAGTGGACCGGATTGGAAGCTGTATGTTGCATAGTCAACCAATCTCCAGAGACCACCCACTTGAAGCTGACCAGCTCTGAGTTGATGCAGTCGCCTTATGGAGCAGTCAGCCATCCGTATACTACAGCGGCAGCCTTCCCTACCGGCTCCATCCTCACTCCTATCAGCCTCCCCGACAGCTCCTTCAGACCGAGTCCGGTACTCAGTCATCATTCGCAAGAATACCAATACAATATCAACGATACCGTTCCGTCGCAAGGACTAGGTATCACGGCCCCATTTCCAAACAATTTCCCTCGGACTGTGACTGCGGGTCTCGGACACACTCTAGAGGATTTGAAATATGGCCTGGGCGAGGTGGATCACTCGCCGCAGCCTCCCCCACCAAAGAAAGCCAGACGTGGGCCCAAGCAGGCAATCACGCCTCGGGAGGCTCCCGTTTCCATACTCCCCAACCCCGAGGGGCTCCAGCGGATGGAGCAAGAGCGGAGACAGGGTGCCGCCGATGCACAGCAGCAACAGCGACCTCGAGCTCCAGGCAGAGGGCGCAGGGACCCACAGGCCGAGGAAGAAGATGCCTTCGTGGAACGTCTCCGGGAACAGAACTTAGCCTGGAAGATCATCCGCGAGATGTTCCGGGAGAGGTTCCACAAGGATGCGTCGGAGGCGCGGCTACAAATGCGCATGCTCCGGCGGCGCAAGGAGCGCCTGGCCCGCTGGGATGAGAACGATGTGAGTACGTGCTCCGTAAGCAGGCCTTAAATCCTAACTAATCGTTAACGGCCAAGTTGTCCAGATCCGTCTACTCATCAGGGCTCGGGATTATTGGGAGCACGAGAAGTATAATGTGATTGCGCGAAAGGTATGATGGCAGTTGGTCTCAATGGATGACTTGTTTCGATTCTTTTACGAGGTGCTAACTATAATCCCTGATCTCAGATGAATGAGTTTGGAGCCGGGCAGTACACACCACAGCAATGCGAAGCGCAGCTACGGTACCTTGATGCGCAGCACCGGGACCGAAGTGGCCTGGTCCCGCGGTCCCGTATATCTGAGCCTTCGCAGGCTCGACGGCGAGTCTGGCCTCGATCATCATCTCAAAATTTAAACGGTGACACCAAGACGTAATTGACTTGCCATGGGTGTACTGATGAACGCGAGAGGCATGTTGAGGCGCATTATGGCTTGTTTACGGCTAGTTTTGTTTCCCTTTTTTATTGCATGGTTAATGATACGTCCGGATGGACTCCGTTTGACGATCTGCATGGTAGCGTCTTTCTAATTTCGTCCTACTACTATCTTTTGTCTTTTCTTTGGTTATCTGATATATACCCTGTGCCCGAATGCATATGAAATGACATCTCATAGACACCCGATTTCCGGCCTGGCAGCATGTACTGTACATCTACTTTAGTCATTCCATGGAGATTCATCCCGAAGACCGTGCAACTCGAAGATCAAAAGACGATCAGTTTGTGTTGGAGAGCCAATGAGCGTGGTTCTCTCTATTACCCCTTTCTTACCCGTCATAAGTAGAGGACAAAGAAAAGATATAGTAGCCAAGCGTCACACAATTTGAAATAGCCTTTACTGGCGCGGTTTTTCTTCCTCGCAACGGTTTGCTGATCTCAATCCCCCATGTCTGTACTCCCTGTCAGGCCTCGGGGAACTGAAATTAAGTTGACACCTGTAGACCGTGCCGTAGTTGTTACATTCAACGAGGAGTAGGGAGGGGAAGAAATACAAATCATTGCGCCTCCGCCGCCGCCGCCGCAGCAACTCATCTCCAATAGTTAACCGCCCGCCAGTCCCCTAAGCCACCACAATCCTTTAATCCTCATGAGCAATTCCTTTCCCATGCTTAGCCTTTCTTAAAAGGGATACTGACGATTTCAGTTCCGGCTCTGCAGTACGTATGACCTTTGATCATCCGGATAATTATAACCTCGCGATCTGTGCTCACCCACCCTCTATCCTTCGCCAGCCTTCCTAACTACTGCTCTGTATGCTTGATCGAGAATCAACGAGTTCTATGTTTAGGATCGTATTCACGAACGAACGAGATAATGCACCAGCTTGAGCGGAACACAGCGTGCATCCATCCATCCATCCATCGATATTGCAACTTCCACCTCAATCTATACACCGCACCGTACCATAGAGAATAATCCCCATACACCTCGCCACAAACATCCAAACCAAATCCCTATAATCAAAAGCCCAAACTCAGACCAACCCCCCATCCCGCAGATCATAATCGCCCGGTCCTCTCAGCCGCAAACAACCGCTCGATCGATCGCAAAGGAAAACCGCAAACCAAACCAAACCAAACCAAGACAAGGTTCATCCTATCCGACGAGTGTTCATCGATCGAGATGTAATGCCTTACCCCATCAGATTATCAACCTGACACACTATGCGGCTACCAATGCATTACTACCTAGTACTTTGTACCACGCTCTGATACGTAGCCCGGGAAGGGGGAAGGAGGTGGGGGGACCCTAGAGGACGATCTACGGGCTGGCAGGGATGTAGCGGGAGTTTATACTTCCAATGACATGACTCGTTATACTTCGGCTTCGGCTTCTACCTCGGGGATTGAGTCGATCTGTTCTTTGGGGCGGGCTGGATGGAGATGGTCTACACCTACCCTGTTGTGCAGTCACCAGTGGTAGTTACGGTATGTTGTGTGAGGTCGTACTATGCGTATAGCCGGGCTCCTTTCTTTGATAGACTTTTTTTTGGTTTGGGAGCGGCTGTAGGGCTGTGGTTTTGTCCCTGGTAGGAGGGATAGATGAATGTTGCGTTCTATTTCTGGATGGGTTATGCTTGGCTTGGGGGATTGCTGTACGATTAGTACTAGGGCGTGGTGTCACGGGTTGGGTTTCCGACTTCCTTTTTCGTTCTTCTATGCTTCTCTGCTGTCTAGCTTTGATGCAGGCGGAGTTGGAGTCTATCAACGGTCTCTTTAAGAATTGTGTGCTGATGATCGAGATGGGTAGTAGGGAGTGAGATCATACGGCAAAAGTAGGTAGTGTACGTAGGTATAGGTATCTTTCTCCTCAACCAGACCAGGGTCTAAAAATTCTATCATTGGCTATCATTCTCGTCCTCATCCTCGGCGGCATCATCAGCGATCGGGAACGTCAACAACGCCGCAACACCACCCAGCCCATCCAGCCTACGTCCGCTCTCGTGATCCGAACTCAACACGCGCACCTCACCACCCTCAACATCGCGCACCCGATCCACCAGCGAGACCCAGCGTTTGCGCTCCGCCACGTCCTGCGACCGAAACAGCCGGTTGGAGATGATCAGCACGCCGCCGCCGCGGCCCACGGCCCCCTGGTCGACGGCAGACTCGACCTCGCGCGGGCCGTAGGTCGCCTTGTTGGTCTCATTACGCAGCTGGTCCAGGAAGTCGTCCATGAGCTTCGTCTCGCGCGCGTACTTCGTGTCCGCCAAGATCGTCTTGACCGCGGGTGACTGCAGCACCTCCGCCAGGGAGTGCAGGTACCCCGAGGCCGAGTGCACGACCACGATGCTCGGGAGCAGACGTTTGAGCGCCGGCATGCTGGTGTTGGCGACCCCCTGGATGTATTTCTGGAACCCGGTCGCCACAAAGCCCGGCGAGGCGAGAAGGATGGGTCGCACGGTCTCGTTGCTGGTGGAGAGGGAGGTGGCGCTGGTGTTGAATTCTATCTGCCGGATAAGGGTATCGAGCGTGACTTGGAAGAATTTGTTCATGCCCTGCGACCGTTACCGGGAATGTCCCACATTAGCTTGTGCATAGCTGCTTCGTTCCGGGCCAGATTGCAACGGTTTACCTTGTCATGATCACCCCCGCCGTGCCGTTTGCGCGGCACAGACATCTCCACCTTCTGTTTGAGGATCGTCTGGAACTGCCCGATGAAGCAGATATGAGCCAGACCCTCTTGCATCACCACGGCCACAGCCTCGGCCCGCCGGTTCCCACCTTCATCCACCGCATCCTTAAGCATCTGGACAGCGATACTGTCCCATCCCACCCCTTCCCCGTCCGAGCCAGTCTCCTTCTCGAGCGTGAAATTGCGGTTCATTTCGAGGTCGAGGGTGTGATGCTGTCCAATCTTGGTGTGTGCCGTCTCATTGACGATCTGCCCGCTCACGTGCAGCTGCGAGCTCTGCGGGTCGAAGTCGAGGCTTTTCACCCGGACCTCGAGGTTCAGGTGCACCCGCGCCGAACTCGTCGAGCCGGTATCTTGGGTGGTGGTGACACGGCGGATGGCGCTGGCGCGGAGAAGGTCGCCCGGTCGGATGAGGTTGTATGCATGCCACTGTGTTGGAAGCAGGGATCAGTCGAGGAAGGTAGGTAACTGGAAAGTGGTGTTGCGTTTGCGTACCATATCCTCTGGCTCTTCCGGGCACAGCGTGACGGTACCGGAGCCATTGAGCTCGATTTTATTCTTGACAAGGCGCATGACGGGTGTTCTCGAATCTGACGATATATATATGTCTAGACGAAAACGAAAATGGGTATCAAAGCCACACGCAAAGCTGTATTTTTGCAGGTTTAACGCTCTGCAAAATCGGCGCTTGCTGCTGTTTGGTTCGTTGCGCTCTGGAGGAATGACGAAGGGTGGTCGGCCTGGGGCAGAAGTGCGGGACACTTCTCGGAAAGGAAAAGTGCATTTGCTGCCCATGGCTTATCGATAAGAGATAACGAAGTGATGCCGGCCTAAGGCTGCAATCGTACGTATAGCTGTATAGCATGAGTTGGAATCCGGGCGTCCACTTACTTCACTTGAGATATCTCCTCCCAAGTGCCTGACAGATTATCTATTACTTAGCCATTGCGTGCTCAAGACCACATCCTGACATCGGCTACCAAGCACATGCAAAGTCAGTCTAACAGTCAGTCCGATAGTCGATTCCTAGAAACTTGGTATTACAATGGCGATCCCAGAACCGCAATAGCATATACTGAGCTGACAAGATTTTCATTATTTCGAATGTCAACGTTAGGTGGCACGAAATTTGATGGGAACAGAAAGTCTCTTTCCTTAGTTCGAGTGACCCTTCAGGCATTTGGCACAGTCGATGAAGGGTCACAGTAGCAAGACGTCACCCCTTGACGATGGGCTAGTGGTGAACTCGAGGTTGATGCCGTCCGCTAGCAAGCTCATGCATCGTTCTTATTCATTGAAGATGCAATGCCGACATCACTGATGGATCAATCTTGCCATGCTCGGACACACTATCCTTTCCCAAGCATTCGTGGTCGCAGCTTCTCTATTAGGAAGAAACAGAATCCAAGAAGGCCAGGTGAATTCACCGACGTCGTGAGGATAGAGAAATGCTCCTGCCTTTTGATATCAGGAGCCATGTGATTCCGCAGTCATTCATCCGGCCGGTAAAGGGGCGCTAAACCAACCCTAGGCAGCTGATTGCGCTTCCTGATCGCCATTGTTGACTCCAAGCCTGATACTTCTGGGGAGTCCTTCCTCGTCACTGCCATACGAAACACGGGGCAGACGTACATTAGGCCTTGAAAGCATGACCTTAGCCGAGAAATATGTATGAGAACCACGAACTTGGATCATCAAGATACTTCTAGTAAAAAACCATGGGAAAGCACGGCACCGGCGATCGGACGTCCGAATTCGGATCGTCCCAAGCCTGCACGTCCAGGGGACGGAATCATCAACTGATTGATAATGCCACCGGACCCACAATTGATCTCTCGGTCCACGGCGACGGCGCATCTTCCTCGTGGGCATGCCGCACTGCGGAGCGGCACCTTAGAAATTAGCTCTGAGATGTTTTCCTCTGAAACTTGACTTTCTTCTGTTCCCTCCGGAGGCATTGATCCTTCATTTCACCTGTCTCGCTGTGTTTAGACAACGCTGTGTGCGATCTTCAGGCATAGACCCCATGGCTCCACTCTCCCTCTCCTCAACCAGAAAGATGGTCTCGGGCTACGAGATCCCGGCGATTGGGTTCGGGGTAAGCGATAGTCAGACCCGACAATTTTTCCGGTGAAGCAACAACAATTGACAGAAACTCCGGCGCTCCAGTCATATCAGACGTATGTTATACTCGTAATCCAGCGACCTGCTGCCGATTGACTATTATCGTCGTCTTGACTGACACGGCTTCGAATTGTAGCCCTCCCGATGTCACGGAGAAAGTGATCCTGAAGGCCCTGGAGGCTGGATACCGTCATGTATGGACCTTAGCCCCTAGTTCCAGCCTCTACAGCACCACAGTCAATAACAATCTCTCACGCCTGCTGCTACAGATCGACTGCGCCCAGCTATACCAGAATGAAGCCGAGTGCGCGGCGGCCATTCACAAATCGGGCATCGACCGGTCCCAAGTCTTCTACACAAGCAAGATCCCCGATACGCATATGTCATACGAGAAGGCCAAGGAAGCCATTGAGGCCAGTTTGTCCGCGGCATCCTGCCTAGGCTACATCGATCTGTACGGTCACTCTTCTTTCTCATCCGCAGCCGACGCATCGAAACTGACACGCCACACACAGTATGCTCCTCCACGCCCCCTACGGCGGCAGAGAAGGCCGACTCGGCGCCTGGCGCGCCCTGGTGGAAGCGCAAAAGAGCGGCAAGATCCGCTCGATCGGCGTCTCCAACTACGGGATCCGCCACCTCGAGGAGCTGGAGCATTACATCCAGAGCAGCGGCGTTGGGGGCCGGATCTCCGTGGGCCAGTACGAGGTCCACCCCTGGTGCGCCCGCGAGGACATCGTCGCGTGGTTGCAGAAGCGGAACATCGTCGTCGAGGCTTACTCGCCGCTGGTGCAGGCGAAGCGAATGAACGAGCCGATGCTGCAGGCCTTGGCGAGGAAGTATAAAAGGTCTCCGGCGCAGATCCTGGTTCGCTGGAGTTTGCAGAAGGTTTGTCCGACTGGAGCGCAGGCTTCTCTATCTTGGATCGAGTGCTGATATTGGGGACTATAGGGATATGTTCCACTGCCCAAGTCGGTGACTGAGTTCCGGATCAAGGAGAATACGCAGGTCTTTGATTTCGAGCTGTCACAGGAGGATATGGGTCGGTTGCAGACGGATGAACATTCCCCTGTGTGCTGGGATCCTGCTCGGGATTCGAAGCTTTAAGGGAGACAGCATGGGCTCTCAAAGCTTGCTTAGGGCTCCAGAGCAAACACAGATTAATAGACCAAGCTAAGCAGCATATGAAATTGTCAAAGTCGACAGCCCATAGCTATGTTCATCGTTGTTGTTGCAAGAAACAAATTAGTTTACCGAATCACCAAAACAATGTTGATCCGCGCTTCGGCATAACGTTTTACCGGAACGGCTTTCCTTCCTTCCGGCCTCGCCTTTCCACCCCATACTTTCCCTTGGAAACAAATCAATGTTACCCGGGGTGGCTTCACTCACTCACTTGTTTACCTTTTTCTCTACTACCGTGTGTTGTTCAGCCCCTATGTGATCCTTCTTTTTCCATCACAAACACCCCCAAATAAAGAACCCAACTTCACTCAAATGTCTATCTCTACAACCCATATCTGCCCTAAACCCAGGAAGTCAATTCCGATTCCTCTCCGTCGTCGCCGCTTTCGTACAACCACCACTATAACTAAAACAGTTACCTCCGTCTAATCTCCGCACTTCACAAAAAGAAAAACCGCGAAAATGCCCACCACCAGCCCCCAAAAACGCATCATCCTCGAGAAATCCCGCACAGTCCGTCGGCGCTACCAGCGCAGCAACAAACGACTCCAGTTCACGGCGTCGCAGATCGCGCGCATCGAACGCGAGCAGGAGCGCGAGCGCCGGGCGCAGCAGCTTCGCGACCGGGATCGGAAGCGCATCGCTAACAAGAAGAAGAAGGCAGAGAAGGAGGCTCGGGATCGCGAGGAGCGGAGACGGCTGGGGATAATGGGGTTGCCGGATCCGAATGCGCCGGTTGTGCCGTCGAGTCAGCCTTCTTTGTTTCGGTTTATTCGGAAGCCTGCTGCCGTGGGGGCGGGTGCGAAGGGGGGTGTGGAGGGTGTGGAAGGGAAGGATAATAACGATGGCGATAGTGATGGTAGTGATGGGTCCGGGGGAAGTACGGAGTTTGAGGATCTCGATCTTGAGGGTTGGGAGAGTGAGACTGTTACGGCTGTTGAGGACGTGGTGTCTGATACCAAAGTGGAGCAGGGTAAGAAGGAGGGTGATGACTTGGGTGTCCATCACGTTGATAAGGAGGACGATAGAGGTGGTGCTGGAGACACTACTACGGAAGACGAGTTTGGCTGGATTGAGGAGCATGGCGCTGCTGCGGATGAAGACGAGTTCTCTGATTGCTCCATCTTTGACGACGGGGAGATCATCCAACGGACCGCGATCGTTGCGACCGATGCTATAGACACCAAGGATGCGATAGACACCTTTGCGATCAAGATCGAAGACGCGGACACCAATGCGATAGACACCCTGGGCGCGAATCCCAAGGATACACTCCATGCCAAGCCCCTAGTGGAGCATGGAGCTATACCTGACTGCTCCGCAAGCGATTCATTTCAGGATGACACGGCACTTCTGTTGGAAGAATTGGGCCATGAGTTTGACGCCGATGATGAATTCGAACAGGCACTGGTTGCGTTGGATGCCGTGTAAGCAGGAAGGAGACGCACTGCATGGAAGGAAGGCACTAATGCAATAATGCAACTCGGCTTCCGAACCGACGGCGATCCGCGCATGTCGGATGGCGGCCCTGGGCGGGAGCCCCTCGTCGGGTCGGGCGGTGATAAGCTGAGCGGCTCGCGTTCCCCGCCCGCCTTTTTCAGCTCCAAATTCGATCCGACGGATTCATGGATTCGTTGAGACCAACCGCGTGAAGTCCGGAGCAAATAGAAGGTTTGAGGTGGTACGACTGGATATACGGCTACACTGGAAGGAATGATTGCCGCGGAGATGGATATCGGCACATTTGAATCGTTGAACACTGGATTGAGAGCAACCACAAGTTCCCCGCCCACGCCATGACGTCGACCCCGCTCAAGACTCGCCGAGCGACTGCTATCGACCTTCCGATCACACCTTTCTCTTCTCTTCCCTCCTCCTCTTCTGTTTTGGTTACTATCCCTCATTGAACAATTGCGAGGAAGCCCGAAATAGACACCAAGATGCCCACCGTCACCGTCCACAATCACGAAATCCACTATGCCGACTCCCACCCGGACGGCGCCCCGACCAATGGTTTGACTTTCATCTTCATCCACGGACTAGGCTCCTCGCAGAACTACTACTTCCCCATCCTCCCATTCCTTTCGAACCACCGTTGCATCACACTGGACACCTACGGCTCCGCCCGCTCAACGTACACCGGCCAGTCCGTTTCCATCGAATCCATTGCCGCAGATGTGGTCGGCGTGCTGGACGCGCTGCACGTTCCGCAGGCCGTGGTCGTTGGACACTCCATGGGCGGACTGGTGGTCACCCTTCTGGGCGCACAGTACGCAGACCGGGTGAAGGCCATAGTCGCCATCGGCCCTACCCATCCGTCGGAGAAGCTGGCCTCGGTCATGACCCAGCGCAGCGAGACTGTCTTGAAGTGTACGCCTTCCACCCTCCGAACTCGAGCTCTCTTTCCATGAGATACGCTAACCCGAGAATCAGCGGGCATGGAGCCCATGGCAAACACCATTCCTGGCGGCGCCACCGGCACGCGCTGCTCGCCTCTCGCCAAAGCCATGATCCGTGAATTGGTCCTCGGACAGAACCCCAAGGGCTACGCGGCTCTCTGCCAGGCGATTGCCACAGCTCCGACCACCGACTACTCGGCTATCCGGGCGCCGTTCTTGTTGATTGCCGGCGAGGAGGACAAGTCTGCATCGCTGGAGGGCTGCCAGCATATTTTTGATAATGTGTCGAGTGCGAACAAGAAGCTGGAGGTCTTGTCGCAGATTGGACATTGGCACTGCGTGGAGGCTCCGGAGGAGGTGGGCAAGCTTATCAGTGAGTTTGCGAGTAGATTGTAAGCAGCATGTAAATAGAGACCGGTAATTGGGTATTCTATAAGGGGATGATACTTGGACAAGTTCGAATGACTTGGAGAATACACAGTACAATATGAATAATGAGAACGCAATCATGGACTAAGCACAATCAAATGAATACCAGGAACTCCAATGCAACGACCTTCACGAAACAGCTCACATCCAAGCATGAGAATGGATAACATAGTCCGGTATCATACGAAACAATATTTACAGAGAAGAGCCGCCGGCTACCAAGGATAAAACAGACATCCTCAAATCCTCCCAACCCGTTCACACCCAGGAAAACCCACCTAGCTAGACTCCGGCGCCGGCGCCAACTTCACATCATACTCCAATTCAAGCCCAGCCTGCGGATCGCCCTTGCGCTCGACAAAGTCCACGATCAAGGAATCCTTGACGGCGAAGACCGAGTCATTGGTGAGGTACGGGTCCTTGCGATCGAAGATCTGCGTGGTGAGAGGTTTATAGCCGTGGTGCGTGGCCTGGTTGTCACCAGTCAGTAAACTTCATCCCCCGATCCTCAACCAGAACAGAACAGAATGTAAAAGAAAGGACTTACAATAATATGAATATGCGCCGGCCGGAACGGATGCCTATCCATCATTTCGAGCAACTTCCCCGCGGGTCCTATCACAAACCCCAAGTTAGCACCCCAACTCCGCGCCTCCCCCCCCCCACAAAAAAATCCAAAGGATATATCATAAACATACCATCATCAGGAACAGGATACGGCGTCGGCCTGAGACAATAAAACCAATACCGGCCCTCCTCATCCGTGCGAAACTTGCCCCGCAGATTAAACTCCTCCTGCGCGGGATCCTGCTGCTCATACAGCCCATTCGTACTCGCCTGCCACACCTCCACGGTAGCGTCGACCAAGGGCTGTTTCGTGACGTGATCCACCACACGACCGTGCATGAACGCCATCTCCCCATCCGACACAGCCGTGCGCACGATATTCGCCCCGTTGGCGCGGAAGGGCGTGTCGGCGCGGAAGAACGGGCCTAAGATTGCGGTTGCCGTGGGTGCGTCTTTGGCTTCTGAGGCCAGGGTGTAGGTTATTTCGTCGACTAATCTGTTTTTGATTTTTTTTTTTTATGTGTTAGTATGTGGGAGTTGTAAGATGGGTTTGATTTTGGGAGGGATAGGTTGGAGTGAAAGAAGGGCGACAGGCAAAACGTACGATTCCAAACCAATCACATCAGTAACGAGTTGACCCTCGTTACGCTTGTCGTCGCTCATCTGCCCCGCCCAGTTCATGAACTGCACGGCTGCCATCCATTCGTCGACGGTGACTTCGTTCTCGCGGGCGAAATCGTGCACGTGTCGGATTAAGCCGGTCATCAGTTGGCGGAAGCGCGGGGTGGTTTTGGGACCCATTGCGTTGATGACATTGTCGGTGAAGTTGGGATCGAAGCGGTGGGGGGCGGTCATTTTGATGGATTTGTTTTTGTTTTGTCTTGTCTTGCAGGGAGAGGAAGGGGGTGTGAGGGAGAAGGTGGTGCTGACAGTGACACGAGTAATTTGGAGATTAGGTCGGGTCCGATTATATACTACTATCACCTGCCACTAGACACAGTACTTCTACTAGGTATGAAAGTTATTCCTCCCTTCGGCGCCCCCGGATTTGTAGGCGACAGATGATGATTGGCTTCGGAAGCGGGTAGGGACTAGGGAACCTTTCCCCCTCCTTCCAGCCCCGCCTTTTTCCTGTGTTTTGTTCGGATTCCCGCTTCCGAATTCCCCGCAGTTGGCTTCCGATACTTTTCACCCCCTCCAATGTCTGGGACTCCAGTTGCATGACACCCCTCCGATCGACAGGAGTTACACATGATGTACATATTATCAACTTTCTAGATCCATCGAATCACCTCCCGTCGGACCCCTTCCCCTTAGGATTTCGCCGCTGCCTCCATTCCGACGGCCACTGCTGCACGACGGTCCCGCGCTCCCAGATCGTGCCCAGCCGGCGTTCAACAACGACATCGAACACCTCGACGGGCACCAGCCCATCGATCCCCTCACTCAGAACCACCCCATTCTCACTGCGCCAAAACGGACACCCGGCCTCCAACGCCTTAACGATATCAATATAGATCAGCACCTGCGCGTCCCGCCGCATCCCCGAGATCACCTGCCCTTGCGCCCCGAGCACCGCTTTGTTATCGGTGGTGTCATCCTTCAGCAGCGCCGACAGCACGGCTTCGCGCTCGGGGCCCGTGGCAAAGTGCACCTGGTTGCGACCCATGCAGCGCAGCCCGCCGGACTCGAGGATGGCGGGCCAGGCGCCGTGGAAGGTGCCGTGGACGACGGTAGCGGGTAGTCGGTGGCGGTCGGCGAGCGTCAGCCGCTCGAGCAGGCCGGCGGCCTCGACGCTCTTGATGCTGTGGCCCTGCGTCGCGCGGATGAGGTAGTGCGTGGGCTCGAGGTCGTCCGTCGCGGCCGCTAGCGCCGTCGCCGTCGCCGTCTCGGTCGTGTCGTCTGTCGTGGTGTCCCCAGCAGCACCCGCCCCCTCCGTCCCAGACGTAGGCGTAGCACTAGAAGAAGAAGAAGGGAGATACAACAACCCAAACCGCTTCTTATCAGAGCAAGCCACCGCCTCCACAATCTCAGGGAACGTAACCTTCAAGGACTTGAGTTTCCGCCATCCGAGCTAGTCACCGCATTCCAAGTGTTAGCATGCAAACATTCATCAACCAATCAATCAATCTCGAGCTGTAGGTAGGGAGGTATTCCGTCGTGTAATCCTCCCCTCTATCCTCCCCTCTTTCCACTTTCCATATTCAAGATTCAAGAAACCAAGAGAAATCATACCAAATCCCCCACCCCCGCATACCCCTGCGCATCCATCTTCAACCCTTCCTTCTCGGCCGCATGCCGCAGCACATACGACATGGCTTTCGATACCGTAATCTGTCGTCCGGTTTTCGGGTCCTCGGTCTTCCGGTTGCCGCCGTCTTTCCTGAGCCCACGGCCGGGTTTGCTGTTTCCTTTGTTGCGCGGTGCGCGGGAGGTTTTCTGGGGGTCGGGTTGTTGTTCATTGTGTTGTGGTTCCGCGGTGGGGTTGGTGGATGGCGTTGCGGTGGACATTTTGCGTATATTATGGATTCTGGTTGGGGATTTATGTGGGTTTGTTTTCGGGGTGTGTAGGTGGTGGTGGTGGTGTTGACGGTGGAAGGGGTGGCGATGGGTTTGGTGAATTGCGGGCTCGCACTCAGGTTGACAGTTAAAGTTAAAGTTGAAGTTGAGGTTGAGGTTGAGGTTGAGGTTGGGCGTCAAGCCGAGACGGGATCGTAGGAGAGAGCCGCAGCTCATGCGGATTTGGGGGTTGAGTTGGTAAATTTTGGCTGTTCTCTTTCTCTGTTGTGTGCACACTGAATGAATGGGTTGCGTGCGAGGATGGATGCACGTGCGGGTGCGATGAAATGGTTTGGAACGCCGCGGCGGTGGTAGCTTGCTAGCTAGTTTTGCTCCGCGGGATTGTTGGATTAAGCGACAATATCAATCTTGCAAGTTGTTAAGGTAACCTACCAAGCAAACTGGCTACGAGCTTTGAGTCAATGAATGATGAATCGAATTACTGGAAGAGAATCTTTTTCTTCTCTCTGTCGCCGAATTTGACATCATCAACGGGAGGTCCGCGGCTCCACTTCAAGTGCGGCAAGCATTACTTTACCATTATACTCAATCTTCTCACGAGTTTCAATTGACCAACTCTTCACTAGGGCGCTTCATATCATCTCTATAGCTATTACCATACTTCTCTCCTGATGCTAAATGGGTATATCACAAATCACATCGTCCCGCAAACAATCACCGATCACAAATACAGCTACACTCCGCCACCGGGCAGACCTTGTGCTTCCCAAACCATTCCCGCGCGTGATGCGCATGGAACCCGTGGTTACAGTTGATACAGAACACAACGAATCGGCGCATCAGCTCCGTCTCGCTTGGGCGACGGGACTCCGCTCCCGCCTCGGCAGTCACATACGCCTTGGACATCGGATCCGGTGATCCCAACCACAGCGTGCAGACGCCGCAACGGGGCATGTGGCGCCCGCATCGGGGACAGACAGTGCCGGACATCGCGGCCGTCCCTAGAGGATTGCCTGCCGTCGGATGCACCACCTCGCCCGTGGCGGACGGGGTGAGCTGCGACGAGGCGTCGTGCTGAGTAAGTGGTCGGGTGCAGTAGTTGCAGGTGAGGCTGATCTGTTGTCGCGGTGGCTCCATCAGCTTGCGGCCGTCCCAGGTCACGGCGAATTTGCGTGATCCCACGTCGAAGCGGGCTCGCTCCAGCTGCAGTTTCCACGAGTTGATCTGCCACCGGTAGGTCTCGCGCCAGGCTTGATACCGAGCTCGATGCGGGGGGTTGTTGATGAATCGCGGGACGGTGTAGCTCATAGCGAGCACGGCTGTTTGAATGTCGTTGAATTTGTTGATGTAGGACTGGAACAAGTCCATGGCCGAATGGCCAAGTCCTGTGAGAACGACGCCCTCGATATCGCCTTGTCGAATGACTTCCCGCGTCGTTTCGTGCAAGAACTTGGTGAGATCGTCATCCGGGAGCCAGCGCAGGGCGACTTCGACGCGGTACCTCAAAGGAAGGGTTGTCTCCTGGATGACCGATCTCCAATCTCCTCGACTGACGAGTGCGAGGATGGCCCGCGCATACGGGTCTGCTAATTCCTGGGCGATTTCAGCGCACGTTTCTTCCCAGTCTGGGTCGGTGTCGCCTTTCGCGGCGCCGGCAATAGCCATGGCGAGGAGCTTGTGCGCTTGCGTCGGCTCATGGCTCCGAAGCGCCACGTAGGCCAGCTTGGCTTCGTCCTGGAAAATAGCCAACGCGGCGGCTTTGGTGTGCTGCTTCTCTGCCGATAACGTCTTGACGAGCTCTTCTAATTCACGATAGGTTTGCGCCGCACCGCAGATCCGCAGACACAACCGACGATGTTCTACATATTTCGTCTCACAGCCTTTGGTTTCGGACAGGTTCAGCTGATCGCTAACCAGATGAACAATGGTTTTTTTGATGTCCGATGGTGAATCCGAGCTCACACGTCGAGCTTCTAGGCTCTCCCCTGCCGACTGTTAGTCCCGCCATGATCCAAGAGAGGTCTCCGTACCTAGGTCATTGTTCCAGACATCGTAGACCCCCAAGTAATTCAGATCCAATCCGTTGATGATCATCGATTCATCAGAAGAGTCAGACCGTGCACCTAGTCGAGTAAGCATAAATTCCACCCGAGCAGTAGAGAACTTACGTTCAACCCAATCCCAGAAGCCCAGTAGCCAAGGATCATCCGCCACTATCCTCTTGTTCCGCGCTTCATCAAATAGATAACCCTCCTTGCATCGCAGCCTGCTGACGGACAACAACGTCAAAGCATCTTCCACAGCAAGAAGATCACCGGACAACCCTAGCGAGATGGCGCGTTCTCTCGCCTTGCGGCTTGAAAGGGGACTCTCCCACCCATTTTCCGAGTCATTCGCCCCCGGTGCCGTAGCCTGAGCCGACACCCGGTCGCATAGATCGCGCACGACTTCCGATATACGACTGTCCGGGTTGGACGGGGGACTAATCACTCTGAAACCAGAATCTTCATCCGGCGAGCCCCAGATCAAGGATGCCTGTGACGAGAGCCGCACGGGTGGCGAGGGCGGTTTGGATGTGACGATGTTGATCTGACCAGTGCCGTTCATAGTGATCGCGCTGGGCTCGTTGCCGGAACTCATATTCAGAAAGTCGAAGGCCACCACCCTGTCCTCTTCTGCATAGCCACGGGAAGGGTGATTGAAGGGACTGATGATATCTCGCTCATACTTGGTATAAATCTGTTCAGGGTATTGTCCAAGCGTCTCGTCCACCGACGAGCGCATCTCATCAGCCATGTATTCCTTGGCTATATCATACGTCTTGAGATGACCGCTGTTAGCCAATACCGCCAGGCAACCCCTCTTGGTGCGGGAGAAGCGCAGACTCCAGATACTCGATTTAGGGGCGATGACATTCTTGAACTCCAGCGCTGGACCAGCCTGGCCAGCATCAAGCGCGGTGGCCGCACCCACCGCCGGCGTGATAAAGCGCGAACCAATCCGTCGATCCCAGACACAGATGACCGGATCGTTTGTTCCCTGACACGAGGCGATATAGTTCTCATCCAGCCAATTGATAGCCAAATTATGAACGCACCTCGTAGGGAACTGTAGCGACGGATTCCCGGGTCCCTCTGCAAGCGCAAATCAGCCAACCCACCCGACACCTCAATCATCAACATCAACACCACCACCACCACCAAAGCGCACAAAAACAAGTAAGCAACACAAGAAAGACCCACCTCGCAAATCATAAATGCGCATAAACTGGCCCTTAACCCCAGTGACCAAGGTATCCGGCTGATCGCGAAAGAACTTGATACTGGTGATGGGCTCGGAGCTAGCCAGCTTGCGCAGAGGCTCGACGAACCCCTTGGTAGCGGGGGCCTTCATGGTCAGGCGCTGGTTGACGTCCCAGATATTGAGGCAGAAGTCATTGCGGACGCGGTCCAAGCCAGCGGCCAGCAAGCCGTGGGTGCTGAAGGCGACGGCGTTGCAGTATCGCTGGTGGCGGATGGGAAAGGAGAAGGACTCCTGGGCCTCGCTGTTCATGCGCAAAATGGTCGCGTCGCCCGAGGACTGGCCCACCGCGACGAGGGACTCGTCCAGCGGGGACCAGTCGAAGGCCCGAAACGCGGGCACTTTGGTGTGCGTCGACAGCACCTCATGCTCGAGGCGGCGTTTTCCGTCAAACGATGTCACCCGGCATAGGCGGAAGGCTTTATTCACCACGTCCACTGAGAGGAAGCGTTGCTCGCTTGTGGTGGAGGCCGGGGACCAGCGGATAGCTGTCTCCATTTGGGCGGACGGAGAGGGGGTCTGGCCGGCGCGCGCGCAGCAGCAGCCTCAATGCAGCCCGGCTCGGCTCTTTCGTCTGGCTTGAAACAGGATTAGGGGAGCTGAGCAGCTAGTACTCGCTGATGGAGCTACCTGGGGAGAGCGGGGGGATGGACCCGGTGCCGATGAGACTGGTCACACCTGGTGGGTTGGTGGGTAGGCAGATGTAGATAACTAAGTGCCTAGAAGTGCCTTGCTAGAAACGGCAAGGGAAATGTGATGTGTCAAAAGCAGCCTGCACCCAGCGAATATACTTCAGCCAAAAGTGGAAAGATAGGTGAATGTCAAGCTCTAGATGTAGTTGCCCATTGGGAATAAGTGCGTAACGCTCTCTGCCTTCAAGCTGACAATACCCTGCACTCACGAATAAATCAACAAGCGGAACCAATGCGCCAGCTGAGAAAAGCAGTCGGCGAGTGATACCTCGTACCTACCTTACCCCCCACAGCGAAGGAAGTACACCTGAGGTCGGACTCGAGTAGAAGCAAAGCAATAGTTCCAATGCAGCCCATGGATTGGATCGATGAATGGGCGCGTCATGGGACTAGCCTGCCTCTAATTGGCTACGCGGAGAAGTCCCTCGGACCGACCCTGATCCGGGCCATACTATCAATCAATGGCCCGAAAGAGTAAGTGTGCATTTTTTTCCTTATGATAAGTTTATCCACGAGCCTACCCAAAATCAAATTAAATCTCGAAACATCAAACGAAAAAGCGAACATTCCTCGAGCAATCACTCAAACCCCTGATCCCCTCCAACCGACCCAAGCCCACAAAGAAAAAGAACATAACCAAAAATGCCCCGCGAATACCAACCAAACCCGCGACCCAGCAAACGCAAACACGAAGACGACAACCTCGACGAAGCCAGCACCACCCACAGCCATTCACACCACAACCGCCGCCCCCACAAGAAGATCCTCCTAAAAGATAACCCAGACTTCACCTCCGTCAACCACCTCAAAAAACGCATCCGCGACGCCAAGCGCCTCCTCGCGAAACCCGACCTGCCGGCCGATGTGCGCGTCACCCAGGAGCGCGCCCTGATGGGCTACGAGCGCGACCTAGAAGAGGAGGTGAAGAGCCGCGAGCGGTCCAAGATGATTAAAAAGTATCACTTTATTCGGTTTTTGGGTATGTCCTTCCCTCGCCCCCAAAAAAAAAAAAGAAGGGAAAAAAAAGGCTAATGATAATACCTCGGATAGAACGCAAAACCGCCCAGAAAGAGATCTCCCGCCTCACGCGCTTGGAAAAGGAGCTCTCCGAGAATAATAGCACCAACGCTGAAATGGACGCCGCGACGAAGGCTAAGAAGCTCGCGTCTATCGCTAAGAAGCTGCATGTTGCGCGCGTGAACCTCAATTACACCATCTACTACCCTCTTGACCAGAAGTACAGTGCGCTGTATGCGGATCAGAAGAAGAGTAAGAAGGCAGCCGCAGACGGAAAAGAGGATGTGTCGCCTAGTGCTAAAGATGTAACGCCGGAAGAGAAGGAGGAGGATGCGGCGGCGGCAGCAGCAGCAGCAGCAGAAAAATCCGCGATGTGGCAGACGGTCGAGCAGTGCATGAAGGACGATACCCTCGACCTCCTTCGAGACGGCAAGCTGAATAAGAAGGCCAAGGCCGAGGCGACGGACGAGTCGGTCAAGACGTCCGGGGATAAGAGCAAGAAGGCGCGAGATCGTGCTGATGGGTCTCAACCCGACAAGAAGAAGAAGCAGAGGAGCGAGGATCATAAGTCGAGTGGTAGGGCTAAGACCGATGATCGGAAGAAGAGGCCGAGCGCGAAGCAAGAGGACTACGAAATGCGGGATGCCGGCAATGACGATGGGGAGGATAGCGATGGTGGATTCTTTGAGATGTGATTGTGTGAAGTTCCTAGCGTGTGGTGCATTTGCAGGAGTTGGTTTTGGTGATCCGGTTTCTGTTTCTGTTTTTCGATTAATTCCTTCTGAATCTCATACTTGACGAACAGTGCACTTATTCGTCTAACATACGATACCCCAATCATCGCTATTTTCTACAGAGCCCAGATTCTTGTCTTTTCGAGGAGCGTCAAAGGTGTTTCGCTCTATGGCGGCCTCTCAGTTGAGCTCTGCACTGGCCGAAAAGAACATTTAGTATGCACTATTCGTAGGCGTGTTCGACAACCAGGGTTCAGAGGCACGGCATACGCAACCTGATCTGATAGACACCTCCAACGTCTTAGATAGACATCTCCGAGCCAACCCCTACAAAAATACGAACTATGCCAAAGACCGCGGTAGTTTCCAATCTTCCTTGCTAAATGATCGACAACATGAATCATCCCAACCAACTCCGAGATTCTCCGTCCACCGTCTAGAAGAAAAGAAGGCCAGCTTGCGACAACAGTACATACAACATTTGCAACACCAGTTCTGACTCCAAAGAGAGACAACGCCAGAAGCTAGCGCGAGTGAACACTAGGCAACAAAATAAAATAAATGAGTCAACGAATCAAGACCGTCGGAACTGCCCAGCGCAAAAGATTGTACTAAGTCATCAAATTCGTGTATCATAGCAGGCTCGCACGATGCGAACGATGCTTGCGATTGTTACAGCATGACCTGCACTCTGCTACCTTGTGTCCCATCGCTCGCTTTTCGGTTACAAAAATCACGCGATCATGTGGCACACACAGTGAGATAAAGGTTACCAGAACCTAAGGGGGAGAAAGAAGAGGAAAACCCTTCGAGGGCATGAACCCGTTTGAAATTGCAATGTTGCAAACGAGGTTCCAGAATTGAAGGGAAAATATGCAAGTGAGCCTCTCACATAACTGTGCAGCCAGAGTTACTCTCTGTGTGGCGACGACGTCCCGCTCCTAGGGCTGAGATACCCCCGACTCCATACGCGGCGGTCTCTTCGTCGACTTCGTTGTAGATTCTCTCCGCCTCGCGAGCTCGACGTCGTCTCCTGCGCATGCCTGAGCCGGTGGTGCCCGCTTCCTCGGTCGCCATCATGTAATCGGCCCATTTCCGATCGAGGCGGTTCGCTGCGATGAGGTCCCCGCGGAGCACTCGTTTGTTGTGTTCGTTTACGGTCATCTGCCACCCATAGAAACACTTCAGGTGGATGATCTCATTCGGATACACAGGCGGAGGGGGTGGAGGCGTGATGGAAGACGTGATCATGGTGGGGGATCCAGGCACCTGACCTGGATCCACCGTCTGTGCCACCACTGAGACAGTCTGCGGGGGTTTGCGAGATCGTGGAATGAAAGCGTTGCTTGAGAGCACCTCTTTGACACCAGCCCAGGTCACATTGCCGCAATCAAACACGACGAGTCGCAGGCCAATCTGAGGTAGATTTTCACCGTAGCCCCTCTTGCGAACGCGGAGACTGGCTTCCATTAGAGTCAAATCAGACACCCGCGTGTTGTCCATCTCAACGGAGCGAAGGGAAAGGCAGTTTTTCATGATCGGCAGGGTTCCCTGGTCACCAAGGAGCTCACAGTAACTGATGTTGAGATGCTCCAGACGAGGAGCGCATGGCGATTTGGCAAGCTCGATCAGTGTTTGATTAGTGATCCGAGTTAACTCTTCGAGGTCCAGGTGAGTAAGACAGGGGGTAGTTTGGATGATAGGGATAACGGAGTCATCGGTGAGCTCAGCGCAGTGTGAAAGCTGTAGTCCTTGCAGGTGAGGCACATTCCAAGCAAGACTCTTCACGCCCTGGTCGGTGACATCAGGACACTGGTGGATATCCAAATGCTTGAGGCGACGAGGAGGGACGATCGGCCGATCCAGCAACACGTCGATTTCCGGATCAACCCCATGCATCAGGACTTTCAAACTTTGGTCGGTGAGATCCGTTCGGCTGATAATTAAGCGATCCAAGGTGTTTCGCTCGAACAACTCCATAGCGAAGTCAACATCATGGAAACCGCGAATCTCGCTGGCCCGCAGATCCCTCAGCTTCGGACAGGCAACCACCACTTTCTTCAACCCGGTGGTATCAACACCAGTGCACCAGGAGACGTTCAAAATCTCCAGCTGCGGACATGACTGAGCGATGATCTTCATGGCGGAGTTTGTGACCGTGAGCAGTCCTGATAGGTTGATGTATTCGAGGCGGGGGTTTCGCAACAAGAAGTAATGGATGGTGGACTTGTCAACACGACATCCTTCCAAAGAGAAGTTGACCACGTTCCGACACAAGTCAGTAATTCGTTCACCCTCGGTCCGCCATTTCTCTTTGAGCTGGACACAACCTCGAAGGTTGAGATCTCGAACAAATGGACCCCCGGCTGTCATTAACTTCACAAGGCCTTCGCTAGGAATGTCGCGGTAGTAGTCGGTTGTATCCACCTGACTCCAAAGCTGCCCGTCGTAGCACATTGCATTCCAGGCTTTGGAAACCGCCGAACAACGAACGATTTCCCTCGGAGTGAGGTACCGGAAAACACGCATCTTGAGTTCATCCGGCAAGCTACCCCAGAGATCGAAGACTTTGGGCTTCGGTGAGGGCGGTGCAACGGTAGCCTCGGTTGTGACATCCGCCATACTGATCGCCAATCCACGGGACCCTGGTCGCAGGTCCTGAGGTAAAGGAATCGTCTTCGATTGAGAAGCATTGGGGGAGTCCGAGGGGACCATTCGGATGCGAGCAGCGCCTTCGAAGTAGTCCGTCTGCGGGGCAGAGGCGCCAGGCGTCACAGATTGGGCATTGAGCCCCCCGTATAACTGCGATGAGCTCCCATTGCCCAAGCAGGGAGAGTAGACCGTCTGCGAGAGCGAGATGCAGGACAGCGAGGCCTTTCCATCGCGGCGATACCCAGTGGACGCGGATCGGCCGCGTCTAGTCAGACTCGGACTCGACGAGATGCGTTGGAGGTTCTGGAGCAACTTGTGACGGCCCTTGAGTTTTGGTGGTTGGTCCAAGGGAATCTGACCGGTGGACGAAGCCGGACTCGAAGGTGCAGGACTCTCAGGGGTCGACCTGATATCGTCGGGAAATGCGGTAGTCATGATGCTGGTGCTGATGCGATCCGCAATCTTCCACAGGAGATCACTTGTTCTCAATTGAGTGAGGTCCTAGATCGGTGCGATGAAGCAATAGTGTGAATGATCAACCCGACCGAATGCTTTTCCGTGCCAAAACGCAAAAATGCTTGCAAAGACGAAGAAAACCTAGTTGCGCATACTGAATCCAACAAAACAGTCCGTGAAGTGAAAATCTTATCGATTGGCGATAACCGTGATGGCGACACACCCCAACGAGCACAGAAACGCCTGACCTCCGTTCCTGCGGATGGGCAGGCTGAATGCTCGATTTGAAAATCTGACTGAAAGAAAGGAAGAAAGAGGGCTCGGATCACCTGAGCAGCAAAGCAGCAGCAGCAGCAGCAGCAGCCAGCGACGACAAAGTTGAGCAGTGTTTTCGGGTTGAAGGTTGCTGTAACGATTGTACCATGGGACCTGAAGACCGCGTAACCCGGCGGGGCCGGAGGGAGAGCCAGCACCACGACTGGTCTGCGACCGAAAAGTCAGGAGAGCGACGGAGTTGAGTTCAATTGTAGACGTCACGCAAGCATCATCCACATCAAACAATGCAGCCGGAAGACTTGCTGACTCGAGCCGAGTTTGTAGGATATTCCTACAGCGAAGGGAGAGGAAGGGTTGGTGAGGGGCGGGAGGGAGAAAGGGAGGTGGAAGGATACAGGAGGATAGGATCGGATCTTGTAGTTAGGATGACTAGTTTGTCAGTAGCAGTAGGAGGTGCACTGGAAAAGAAGAGGACAGGACAGCCACAGAGAGTGAGAGAGAAGGATTGCCAATGCCGACTGGAGAATCACGTAAGGTCGGGGGTCAGCCGACAGGAAGGGCGAGCGAGCCACACGGTCTTTTTATTTAGTTATTGTTGACAGAGAAGGAGAATATACAGCAGAGAAGAAGGACAGAGGAATAATTCGCGCAGAGTGGCTGTGAGTCTGAGTCTGTGACAAACCGAAAAGAAAAGGGAACAATGATAAGGCCGCGAATAACAGTCGTCGACAATGGAATCTCTCCTCCATTTTACCCCACAGGCAGCAGGCGTTGTTGGTTGTTTCTTATCGAATATCGATGGGATTCTCCCTTAGTTTCGCACTTATCGATTAGCCATTAACCATTAGCTTGCCCCACTGTGGCCTGTCACGGTTCTGTCACTTTCATGTCTGTTGAAGTTACCGGTTCAGATGGCCCGGGGCAGTCTTGCTTGCGATCAGGAGATGAGAAGGCATGACTGGGAGTTGGTGGCCATGATAAAGGTAAAAGGTAACGCGAAATCTGAGACATGATAACCAGAGACCAGATCAGTCAGAGTCATCTGCTGCGCCACGGACAACAAAGGTGTTCAGTGGTGTTGTTCGAGAACAGACAGTACGGACAGACTACAGAACTTACCTTCGATACCAACAAGTACGACCCGAGCCGTATGGCACTTGTCCCGAAATGAAACAAATGCCTCTCGCCTCTTCCACCATCCATCCATCCATCCATCCATCCATCACATTCGAATTCCCTGTTCCTTGCAATGCTATGTTGACCCGGTGGAGCGATTGGGCAACAGTCAGTTAAGGGCTATTCTTAACAATTAACCAGTATCCGAAATGTTCATGCATACACCAGCCACTACATTAACCCCCATCACACTTGATCTCCCTATCTCTACTGTCGCGACACCCACCAACCCGCCCAAGCACACCAAAACTAGAGGCTATAAATGATGGATACCTCGAATTCCTACTCCCCTGACACCGACAGAAAGAACCGGAAGCTAAGGAACACAGTCACCCCCCTCCAACACACACATACCAACCGGGAAAAAAAGAAACCCCAGTGGACCAGTCCGGAATCCCGGGTCCCATACCCACCACATCCCAAGCCCTTGAGAGGCGAAAAAAAGACCAGAAAAGGAAAGAAGAAAAGGCAAACGAAGCTACTCCGTCGTAAACAACCCTCCCTTCCGAAACTCCGACTGGCCCGGGAAATCAGATCAGATCACAGTAAGGTCGCCAACCGTATCCATATACAGTAGTATGTGGCACAGTTCCTGGCACATGGGGAGAAAATAGAAATAGAAATTCAAATCCGCGCGGTCTGCCAGCTTTGAGACCTACATAGGTATTCGTACTTGCACAGTAAGAAGGGAGAATAATCTTCCCCATCCACTCTTCCTTATGATCTAAGCAGCAGAATTAAAATCTTTCACCCAGCGAGTGTACCTCAACGAAAAGGATGATTGAGCGCGAGCTAAACTACGCGTTGTCGGCGAAGTGGACTGGAGGAAGAATTGACTTCGACACTCTACCCCATACGGAAGAGGGACCTGTCGCTCAACTCAACCATTGCAGTGAGGATGGAAGGGAAAGAAGGGGAAAGGCAGAGAGGGGCGTGGGGAATGAATGATTTGTTTGCCTCCTCCTGGTTCATTTCCACGACATCGCCACCCAGGCGGACCTTGGAGACCTGCGTATATATTACTTGTACTGTACAAATATTTACTGAGTCTTACCTACCAAGCTGATTGTCTCCTCTGCTGGAAACCTAAAACGCGGAGGTTTGAAGCCCATTCTAGAACACGGACAGTCAATCAGCATCTTGAGGAGAAAGACAGCAGAAAGACACAGACTCAACAAACGGACAGTGAAGCCTGCGTGGCTTTGATCCATTGGGAGAAGAGAGGGGGACCACTTCCACCCCATCCCTCATAGCCTCGTCTCTTGGCCATGGGCTCACCGTGGGAGAGCGATAGGGAGATGATGCGAACCCGGGGTCTGATTTGTTGAGTAGACGGTGGATAGAAAGAAAGTTCCATGTCTCTCCCACATGGCAACAAGCACTGCAAGAACCAGCCCAGAGCTACAGTTCCGCGACATTGAAATGCACCCCCCCGAGAGGTCCGAGCACCCGGGCGGACCACCGCCTTCTCAATCCGAATGCCACGCTAATAATTCAGTGTGTGTAGCACGCGTAAGAAATCCACGTAGTCGCGTAAACACCCGATTTTGAAGCCTTAAATCAGTCAATTTAATGGCGAGAACGCGAGGCAAGGAGTTGAGGGTCCAGTTACGCTCGCGTAGCTGTGAACTACGTGTAGAGGGCTGGGGAGCCAAGCGAATTTATCGGTTGTATCCAGAAATATCAATCAGCACTATTAAATCTACACTATGTGCTGAGAAGAATCGAGTTAACTGTGTGACTCGGCCATGCCTAGAACTGGAAAAAGCAAGAGATACAGAGGATACGTTAGAACAGGTGGTTTCTGCAGCTAAAGAGGCCTGGCAGGATAAATAAAACTAGGCGGTTATACGGCTTTCGGAGACTATGCCAAACCGTGTTCAGGCTGTGAATCACAGCCTGTGATTAAGGCAGAGGGCTGGTATACGAAGTATTAAGGATTCTGCCGGCAGAGATATTATATAACTAAGCCTAATTAAGAGGCGGAACAAGACCTCTCCCGAGGGGGGGGGTGCATTTCAATGTCCTCCCACTGTAAGTTGGCCAAGTGCCACCGTTGAAATTCGATAGCCCGACCAGACTAGACTACTACTAGTAGCCCCCAATTTCCCCCGCTTCCACCCCCGCAATCCGGACTGAACACGATAAGGATTGTTGGGCCAGTGCCCCCGGTTTGAGCAAATGTCTATTTGACTCAGTATCATGTCTCATTTCTGTATATCTGTCTGTCGCGTCGTCTACCATGACTATAACCTGACTGCAGCTTCATTGCCCTGGTCTGTTCCACAGCTTATGCAAATCCAATGCCGCTGCGGTGACGGGTATCCACGGAAGACAAAGGCGCAGAAGAAAAAAAGAAGAAAAAGAGAAAAAGAGAGAAGTTCATCCAATGCATGCTGTTCTCTGCCCATGTTTTCCCCAAGGCCATGCGCGCAAATTAGCTATTGAATCCTGACCAATAATAAACCAAATTGCAAAGAGAAAACAAGAAACATCTTCTTTCTAGCCAAAGAGAAGAATCATGTGATGATGATGGGGTATCTCAGCCGCCTAAACCTTCTATACAAAATACCCCCGCCGCTGACCAACCAAAGCCCTGTCTCATCCAAGGCATCCAAAGATGACATGCATTCTGTATCAGGTCATGGTCATTGCTCTCCTCATGGGACATGCATCATCCACCGTCGTCGGTGATGATGATGATGATGATGATGCTTCCCTAATTTTCCAATGTGGCTGAGTACTTATACAACCCGCAAGAGGCCAATCTCTCAGGGTGATTCCAATTGAAACCATTGCATTCTGATTATCCATGCAAGAGGTCGGTAGATATGAAATGGACACAGTTGCTGTATGTATAATCCAAAACAACGGTCCGTGATGTATTGGTGCTTCTTATAGAGGACCAACCTCGCGGTGCCTCGTCTAGTTGTCCGCCATCCACGGGTGCTCCAAGACCTCACTGACAGTCAACCGGTTGTCGACATCTCGGTCAAGCATCCTCCTGATCAGGTCAATGCAGTCCTCGGAGAAGGGCAAGAACGGGACCCGAAGGGGATGGTCGAGAATCTCATCGACGTTGTAAAAGGGGTTTTCTTTATATACGATGGTGTAGAGAAGAATGCCGAGAGCCCAGATGTCTTGCTCTTTGCCCCGATAAGATTTGCCCTGAAGGACTTCAGGTGCTGCGTAATCTGCAATAGAGTCAGAATCTCGAATAAGTTGCCAACTTGGACGATAGGCTTACCAATTGTGCCCACAAAGACATCAAACGGGCCGTTTTTGATATAAGCAGCACTTCCGAAGTCGATCAGTTTGATTCGCCCTTCACCATCCAAGATGACATTCTCATCCTTGATATCACGGTGAACCACCAGGGCCTTGGTGTGTAGATGGTGAATGGCGGACACCACCTGTCGGAAGATGTTCTGACACTCTGACTCGTCCATATTGACCTTCAACTCGATATAATCAAAAAGATCCATGCCGGGAAGACCATGCGGTGTCATTTCGATGTAGTAGTTAACGTCATCTTCAAAGAATCCTTCCATTTCCACGATGTTGGGGTGTTTCAAGCCATCTCGCCGAAGAAAGTCCAAAACGTGAATCTCCAATGGGACTGTCCCCAAACGACGGTCCCGGGTCCATGTATCGACAAGAATCCTTTTCTTGGTAACATACTTCAGCACTACCTTCTTCGTGGGGATTTTCTTTAGGCGGGCGAGTTTGACTTCTCCGTAGGCTCCTTGGCCCATCTCTTCCAGAATGGTGTAATCAGCAATTGTTCGCTTTTTCGGTGTTTCTTTCGCGCTAGCCGGTCTCACTTCGGGCACCGGCTGGACAGGTTTGTCTGTTAATGGTTGCGAAGCAGCTTCGCTCAGCTGCTGGCTCAGAGTGGACGTGGAAATTTGGCTCTCGACCGAAGTCTGTTCGTTTATATAAGGGTGTGGGCTAGAAATTGGTGTGGGCGTGTCCGACACAAGGGCTGCCGAAGGACTCTCAGCCCCGGATGGCACCGACTCGAGTGGTGAAGGAATGGTAGTTGTCGGAGCTGCCGAGTGAATGTGGCGCGAGTAAGTCACCCACAGCGCATAGACGAGCTCGGTTACCGCGATTGGAGCGTCGTGCTCAGAGTCTGTCTCGTTGACTTCGTCGATAGGTTCTTTTCGCGGTTTGGTGAAGATGGTACCGCTCTTCGCCACGCGCAGCTGGACATCAACCGCGATTGGTGATCCATCACGGTGCGTAGCCGCAAGCCCCGAAGGCTCCAAGAAAACCGAGACTACGTTTGCTTTGCCGTCTCGGAGAATGGATAGGGTCCGTGCTCGTCGAAAACTGGTTTCCGGAATCACAATGCCGTCAACAAGGGGAACTCTTTCCTCATCAACAAGCACATTCAACAAGTCATCGAAACCAGGTATCAAGTCAGTAATATGCAGGCCCTCGGGCCGCTCATGGCCAAAAAGGGCGGCGGAGAACACAGAGTTGGAGCTGACGATCTTTAAGGTTGACGAGGATAGAACCATCATGCCAGCCACATGAGGAAAGCTTGAAATCCGAAAAGACCTAGTCCCTTCGCCCTTGGTTACGATTGTGGGAATACATATCCCAGCAGAGGTGCGAGAAGCGATGTATTTGGTCTCGGCCACTTTGGTGAGGCCTGTGCGCATGGAGCCAGCCAGACAGTCCTCTGGAAGGCGAGGCAGAAGCTCCGTAATCCGCTCGCCAGGCTTGACCGTACCCTGACCCCAGATCTTGTCAACATCACCCTCAACCTTGACAATATCCCACGACTCGTTGCAAGTGACTGTCACGACATCCTCCTGGATTTCTTCAATGACCCAGATCAGGCCCCCACGCTTCTCCATCACCCAGATGCTCGCAGACCCGGTTTTGCCATTACGTTTCTTTATGGGCACAACATCCCCGCAAAGAAGCACTCCGCGAGATTTGGTCGGAGGGTGATTTAATTGTCTCGTGCTGGAGCCATATCCGTCATCGGTCTGTGCTCTTCGTGGTGGCCTTGCTCGAGAAGGTGGCTTGCTTAGCAGTTGTGCCGTTACGCCGTTGCCCATCCCCATTGTTTTGGTATGTGTAGGCTTGAACCGCGATCGTTCAGGCGAAGTTTTGAGCTTTGCTGCGGCGTCGGTGCTGGGATCCCGCAGCTTGGATTCGATCCATTCCCGGCGGTCTTCTTGTACGACCTCGAGTATGCTTAGCTTGCGGAGTTCCGCTTGGGTGACACCAAAAATGAGACACGAGATATCATTCGCCGCCAAGATAGTCCAGGGCTCCTCTGATTCGGTCCGAAACACGGCCTGCGATGCTGGGGTCCACTTGCTGCTGTGAGTGTGTAGTACAGGCACAGGGAAGCCGTATCCAAAGGTGGAAGAGCTGGTTGGAGAAAAAGGGTCGGTTGTTGTGTAGGGTGCTAGAATCTCCATCAGCTTGCCCCGGATTGCAGTAGAACCGACTTCGGTATTAGTACGTTTTTTAATGCTTACGCGCCTGGATGAAGGATGCGACCTCATCTCCTCTTGCTGCTGCAATTTCTGGTCATCCGTCCCTTGTCCTGAGAAGCGCGAGTGACTTCCCATCGAGCCATATTCCGTGGCTGCCTCTCCGAATCTGGTGGCCGCAAGTTGGGGTTCTGTGAAAGCTCTCTCGAAGATATTATCACTATCCACATTAGCAGGGCCGGTTTGTGGTCCACGCGCCAGGCCTGCAAAGTGGTATCGATCCTCCTTGGCTGATACACTCGTTCTCGTTGAGATGTCCACCACACTCAGGGTATCCGGATCGCCGCTGGCGCGTGCTTGAGCAGCGGCCAGAGCAGGGCTGTTGCTGGCAGCCCAACCGAAACGGTCGCGCATGAAATCGATCGACCTCTTCAAGATGTTATGCCGGTTATGAAGTAGTTCCTCCGACTTCTGGGCGAATGAGAACGAATGTAACGACTCGCACGGGAAGCGGTGGAGGTCCTCCAAGGTCTCGATGTCGTCACTGGCGAAGAGACGGGTGGGATGGGCTCGGGATGAGGAGGCAGAGCGTGGGGAAGGCGAATGGCTCCGTGATGCCACCGGGGCAAGCGACGAGACCGATATGTTCGGGAGAGTGAAGACTCGCGACGAGGGCTGTTGACGTATGCGATCTAGGCCAGACGGGCCAAGTCCATGTTCATGATCCAGCAGAGAAGACCTGTAGAAGGGATTTTGGAAGTCTCTTTTTAGTCCCTGACCGCGGATTTGCACTAATGCAGATCGATGCTGCCGACCAATGTAAGGGGATCATCGTCGGCCACTTACCTCGAGAGGTGGTCGAAATTGGACGAGATACTTTCGGCGGAGCATCTCATTGAGTCTTCGGTATGGGTCGAGAGGCGTCTGATGAAGGGATCCGACTGGGGCGACTGTGAAAGGGGTCCCAGTGGGGATGACAATGGACTTGGATCATCTAGAAATCCTCAGCCCGGGGTTAGCTGCATGTCTCTCACTTTCTGGGTCCCTTCTTTGCACTCTAGTTCCCTGGCCCTCCTTATCTCTAGCTTGGATCCCTTTTCTACCCACTCAGAAGCATCGGTACCGGGATGTGGAATGAAGTGGCTGAATTGTTCCGAGATGCATATCGAAAAATGTGGATAGTCGGCGTCAGTGTCGGTTGTGCCGGAATGGAGTCTCAGTGACTGGAATAATAGTCTCTTGGCATTCTTTCGTTTGTTGGTGCAATCGCGTTTTGCGTCGAGAATCACTGCCAATTTGGAGCTCGGGGCTGGGCGCTTTGGGAGTCGACAGTCGTAATCGTATACACCTACCGCATACGCTTCTCGGAACCAGGAACTTTCACATGCCGACGTTGATACAACTGAAGTGGGCGGAAGGGCTTGCAACACTAGGGAAACAAGAAGGGAAAGAAAGGGGAGCGTGAAAAAGCTTGGGATTTGGGATACTAACCGTCGAGATTGTAGGACGAAGAACCCATATTTCCCCAGGGTGGTGACAGTGTAGAAGAAACAGCACCGATCGGACCGATTGATAACAAGCGGTTCAACCCGGCGCAACTGGAAGAATAGCCGATAGAGAACTAGGGAGGAATGACGATGTTGTTTATTGCTACATGGGATCACCAAGTGTGAAACATGAGAAGAGATTGAACTCTTTTCGGCGAGATCTGAAGGTGGGTGGGGAGGAGAGGGGAGGCTGTGGTGAATTGTGGTGAAGTGATAGGAAATTTTTCTTTCCGCGGATTGTCCTGCAGACGGGGTGCGTTGGGAGGCTTGACGTGTTACTGCGAGGGATAATAGATTTCAACAGGCTGACCGGGGACCTCCTCCCGTTCACACCTTAAAATGCGACGAGGCGACTGAGAGGACCAGCAACTCGGTCAGTTGCTGCAGGTGGGTTGGTAAGGGGATTCAAAAAGAAGGTAAGGTCGATAAAAAGGATTGTCAGCGGACTGCGGGCGGGACGAAGAGAGGGCAGCTGCCTCGTGAAGTCACAGGTACCATACAGCTGCGAACAAGGCGTCGCACGCGGGGGGGTGGGGGTGGGTGAGAGAGAAGGAGAGAGAGAAGGGACCGGGGAGGGGGGGGGGGGAGAGGCGATGGTGATGGAGGTGGAGGAGGAGGTGGAGGAGGAGGAGAATGAGAAACGAGGAGAATGAGGAGGAGGAAGAAAGGAGAAGGAAGGAGGGATATGAACGGGAGACCACACAGTCTGTCTGTATGTTGTTTTGGTGGTGGTGGTGGTGGTGGTACGTGGTGGTCCTCAGGAAATCGTCGCAGAAAGAAAAGAAGGCCAATGGCCTACCGACCAAAGCAAATGGTCGTGGAGAATGGGTTCAGGAGGTGAAGCTCTCCCTCAATCCAGTCAATCAATTAGTTAGCTAGTCAGTGGAAAACTAATGAGCACCGCCGCCAGCCAAGGGACGGAAAGAGAAATAGTCTCGCCCCAAATGTGGGTTTTTCTTTGGGAGAAATGGCCCAGTTTGCGCGGGAGTTCCGGAAGGGAGGCGGCGAACGAAGGGAAAAGGAAATTTGGAAGAAGGGCGGGAGAAGAACTATACCTCTATACCCTGTAGGTGAAGATGGAAAAGGAAAAAAGAGGGGATTTCGTAGGTGGTTAGCACTTGGGGAGGAGGAGGAGAGAGAAGAGGAGAAGAGGTGGGTAATATAATAGTGGAGACAAGACCACAACTGGAGCTGAAGCTGTTGTTAAGTTGTCGTTAACGTCAAAACTTGTGGTTGACGATGCAGCAATCTAGGAGGGAGAAATAGATGACGTCCCAGGGACGAAGACTCATTACCCAGGTCTAAGTCGTGCGTCTTCACTACCTACTTACTCTCTATATGGATTTCTTGCTCGAGCCAGATCCGCTTGCTTATGCGGTAGTTCGTTGACTCTCCCTCCCATATCGCGATGAAGCTGAAGAGAAGAAAATAAGCCTAAGACCCTCTGAATTATTTCAAGACGTTTACTGCCAATGACAAACAATGAGGGGAACAGGTCGGGGGGTAGTATCCGTATACCTAGTGTGAGTAAGGTAGTATGGCGCGGTCGCCCACTGCTACGAAGTCCTGGAGAAATTCATGCCTTGGACCCCCTCGGATTTCCATGGATCTAACCGGTATGGAATTCCTGTCAAGGGCACATAGCGTCCCTCTATGGAATCGACCGATACACTAATGCAGTCCCTCCCAACGGAGGTATCCCCCTCTCCAGACCAATCCGGCTAAGGGAAAATGCAATGTGCTAAAGCTTCAATGGAGCCACCAGCAGGAAACAGGTGTGGTGAATTTGATGATGTAATAATGAAAGCTCCAAGCTCATGGGGAACGAATAGAGCAAACAGTCAGTAAGTGCATGGCAGTATGCATCCACCACTGGAAATGGTGAGCAATGCCCATCGATCCATCGCACGATCCTCCTTCCCTCCTCCATGATGCCATTCAATCATCCGTCCATCTAAAGTCCGACTTTACGAGTGCTTGGAGCTTGGAGGGGCTTGGCTGACTAACCGAATCAGTTCCCCTCGATGGTCGGTCGATCACCAACCATTGGGCCTTCAGGTCAGATGTGCAGATCCACCGGCGTCACTGGACATGGTCAATCCCAGCCCGCATTTGCTGTTCTAAGATCTTTGCAGTCCTTGGTGCCCATTCTCATTGGCATGATTGTAGAGACCGCGACACTGACTCAACGAATGGACCGAAATGAAGGTGAACAGGCATCTCAGTCTGCTGTGCCCAGTGACCACTTACCCAGGACAGGTACATGTGAGTACAAAAGATACTGTACCTGTTTACTTCACAGACCAAGTGGTATCTTGCTACCGAGGTAATAAGCGAGCGGCTTTTGCTTGCCCCTGCAGTACGGCTCGTACTCGGTTTTGAGCACAGTAGCGAAACACTTCCGAACCACTCTATACGAGCAAAATGCCCAAACAGTGCGATCCACGCTCTTTCCCTAGTAAAGTATGTATAAGAATAAAAGGAAGCTATTAAATAGTTCGTGCGAAATCTCTACACTTTGAAAGCGTATGCCGGACCAAATTGCCGCGTACTCCATCGATTCTCAAGGCTTGGGTCCACGAAGACTTCGCAGGGCCAGACCGTCCGACTCGGCCTCGGCGCCGGCTTTTCCGTGCTCTTCGTCCCCATTGCCGAAGAGGGAAGCTGGTTTGGGGCGCGGGCGCCCTTCTCCGTGCCGAGTCTGCTCCGGAAGCACAGATGCCGGGCTGACAAAGCTCGAGAGGTGTCGCTTCCCCCCGAGCATCCATGAAAACTCGGAATCCGCCAACGAAGGTCGAGATGCATGTCGGAGGGGCATGGATGTGGGAAATTGTGGACTGGTGGCGGCGGTACTGCGGTTCAACTTCGTCCCAATGCTAACGGGCGATCTGGGTGACTCGGCAGATGCGCTGGTTCGGCGGGTACCAGTGGAGGCGCGATCTGCCCCATCACCGGCAAATTTCGCGCTGTCGCTGGTAGCTTCAGGGGCTTCCGAGGGAGTCTCCGGTTCGGCATGACTAGGCTCACTTGGGATTTGATCTGCAGCGCTTAGGGGGATGCTGTGGTCTTCCAGGCAGCTCTGGATGCCTTGTACCCGGTCAAGTGCTCGCTTTAAATGGTCCATATCACCATTATCGGCAACCTCAGCTTTGTTCACGTGAGAGCGAATGTCGTTGAGTGCATGATTTAGCATCTTGGCAAGCTCTCTATTCCGGACCTCCAACTCCTCGATCTTTGCTTTCAGCTTGGCTGTGTCGTCAGGGGCCCGATCCCAGGACGTGCTCAGCCCTTGGCTCTGATCGAATCGGGTGCCACGAGGATGATGTTCCGACTGAATTGACTGCATATTCCGTTTTGCTTCGCTTACTGCTCCGCGAACGGCTTTAGCGACCCCCCAAGCCTCTGTTCGGCGCTGGATACCCTCCGATACGTCCTGAAACAATGTTTCGAGACTCTTGGGACTGTTCCTTGCAGGCGACCTGGAAGGAGAGCTGACCTCACTCAGGTCCCTTGACGCACTCCGCAGGCGGAATTTACCCTTCGAGGGCTTGGCGCTTGGTTGTCCAAGCACTCTCGACAAGTCCGGTGGTCTTCCAGAATACTTCGAGATGATGAATAGACCCCTCTCGGGGGTGGGATTTTGCTCCAAATAGATTCCATCGTAGACGAAAGTCAGCGGCGAATGAGGATCTGGTGAGGGATAACGGAGCAAGATAGTCAAAGCGCTTGAGGAATCAGCGCTCAACACTAAGAACCATTAGCAAAAGACTCGCAAAACCGTCCGCTCATCGGAAGTAAGGCGTGTGCGAATATGATTGTGCAGGGGAAGGGAGGCCTCACGCTGCCAACGAATCCGTAAGAGCATCGCAACGCAAACATAGTCAATCAGTTCAGGGCGTAGTCCTTCGGCGAAGAGTAAATCCCAGATTTCGAGGACATCTTGAAATGGAAATTCGCGCCCGAACAGAAGACGCATCCAGCGACTTCTCATTGTGTCAGTTCTGTGCTTCTCATTGTTTGTCATTTTACACAACTTACGTTAAGAAAATCTGCGGCAATATTTCGAGCGTCTGCAAGTGGTCGGCCAATTCGACGTCGGCCGTAACCAGAAGTTCGCTATGAAGGCGCTGGCACTGATGCACAATTGGAATGACGTCCATCTGACCATTAGCCGATCGGGTTCTATTGTGCTCATAATAAACTCGGACATTCTGCATGACAGAGCAGAACAGGGCGAACGAATCATGCTCGACATAGCGGGCGTCGAGAAGCTGGAGCATCGCGTCATCGTCTGCATTTGTTTCCCCGGGCTCTTCAAGCGGGTTCATCTCGATCGCATCCCTGTCAACTACCCACAAAAGAGGTGCCAGTATCTCATGCATGCCTTGCCGATAGCCCAGGTCCGGGTTGAGTTTCGCATAGATAAACAGTATATCGATCATCTTCGCTTTCGTGGTAGGCTCGCGGAAGAAGAAATTTTCTTGCAAGCACCTGTCTACATCCTGGGAAATATCCGCTCTTGTTTGCTCGTCATTCCGTAGAGTTTGCCATGGAGACTTTCGGAGAGATCAGTCACCCGCATTCACACAAGCCATAGCAAAAGACTGAGAATAGCATACCTCCGCATCATCCGCCAGCGGATCGACTGTCGACTCCAAATCATCAGGATGCTCAATATATTTCAGAAAGTGGTCTTTCAAGGCAACGTAGGCGCTTCGTGAATCGGATAGCTTCTGCGGCCATTGCGCCCGGTCGAGATCATCGAAGAGCAAGAAGGCCTGCGACCTCTAGGTAAGCAAGTTTAACAGAGTATATCAGTGGCAAGCGCATGCCTTCCAGCAAATTGACCTCAATCCATCGTTGCACAGTTTGTCGTCTTGCTCCAACCTGAGTCCGTTCTGAAAGTCGGCGGTGGTGTTATTGTCGCAAAACAGGGTATTCCATCGCTGCCTGACCAGTTATCAGCCGGGATCTCCTTGGTAAAAGAGGTATCAAGTATTAAGGAATCCAGCGCACCTTGTCTCCTCGATGCCCCTCATTTCACCATGTGGCTTTCCGTTGATTGTTGGTCACAGATGCTTCAGATTGACGCGCATTGAAGGAGAAGGTGCTGGTCCGCGGTTGGAGTTGCGGGCAGTTGTCCGTAGCCGCGGAGGTTGACCCGCCACAGAGGATTTTCCTTGGGTGCAACATCATCCTCCCGGCCACGCCGCTCTTATCTATGCGCCTGCTATGACCTGTTATGAGACTCCGATTTTGATACTCAAATTACCATCTACATGAACTGCGTTCATTGAGTGCTCTGCTTTTCCTTAACTTTCTTTCGGTCTTCTTAGCGCCTTCATTTTTATTTCTTGCAACTCTACATCTACTCCAAAAGCCATCCGTTGAATCATACCAGGACAATCCTAATACAGCCACCCATGTCCGCGGATTTGTTCGCAGAGTTTGGCATTGGTACCAAGCCCAGCGAGCAGCCCCAGAGAGCCGTGAACCAGCGGTCTACGAAACAACAAACATCACTAGTCCCTGACCTGGACTCCTTCGATGATAGTCCTTCGACGCCTTCAACGCCTTTCCCAAATTATGCAAACAAGTCCACTGCAGTAGGAAACCAATGGCAAAGTTCTTACTGGGACAAGCCACCTATCTCGGGACCGGTACAGCAGGATAGTGGCAATGATGTGCTTTTCGATGCCTCTCTCGAGACCGCCTCGTACGATGAAAGCGATGATTGGGGCGAGTTCGAAACTGCAGGCGTGCCCACTCAACGAGCGCCTGTAGAGCAGTCGAAATCTAGAGGCTCAACTTCTGAGGCACAGCAAACTAAAGTGCAAGAATCCTTTGACTTGCTAGAGTCGCTGTCGCTTGACGATAAACCGCCTGTATCTGGTAAAGAGTCTATTGGCACGCAGCAGAAAACCAGACCCCAGCCAGTGCGCAAAGAGCTACCGTCTACGGCACCTTCGCTGCCTGTTGAAGACGATCCTTTTGAGGATTGGGGTGATTTTGTTGATGGGCCAGCTACAGCATCGAGTCAAAGGCAGGACCAGAAGCCACCAGCCTCGGCCCGGACGCAGCGTGGATCCGTCCAGAGCAGAGCAGGAAACCCACATACTACAACCACCGCTGTCGACCCGGCGGTAAGGTTTACAGCTCCCAGTCCCAGCATCACGGCTGACCAGGTCCGTCCGACCAATATTCCCCCACCGTCTGTGCTGTTGGAGCTGTTTCCTCGTCTATTCGAGCAAGTCCGACAGGAAGCTACGGACGCAAGGAAGGATATGCAGCAAAGAGATAAAGTAGAACATGCAGCGCAGTTAATCCAGAATACGCTGAAGACTGCCGCCCGAGTGGTTGTGGGCCGTACCCTGCGTTGGAAACGGGACAACATTCTGAGTCAAAGCATGAGGATTGGCCCAGCAGGAAAGCCCGGAGGTATGAAGCTCAGCACGGTCAACAAGAACGAGGATATCAAAGAGCAACAGGAGGCAGTGGATGTGCTCACCATGTGGCGAGACAGAGCGGCACTTTTCAATTCTGTCGTCCAGGCATCTGGAATTCGACCAGTTCCTATTGTTCAAGAGAACGTTCGGGCAATGACACTCAGTGCTGATCGGGGGGCACTCAAAGCATCACATGCTTGTGCTCTTTGCGGATTGAAACGAGATGAGCGGTTGCCCAAAGTTGACGAAAATGTGGAGGACAGCTTTGGAGAGTGGTGGGCTGAACATTGGGGTCACACTGACTGCCGGCAATTCTGGGAAAACAACAAAGCTCTACTGGGACAACGATGACCGTATGCATGAGCATGAGAATCGTAAAGACCTAGGCTCAATTCAATCAGCCACACAGGCGCCCTAGCTACGGCAACCGATTTGATATTCGGTCTGCTCGTAAGGGAAAATGCAGATACCACATCTATAGCTCATCATTCCCAGGGACTGATTACACGAAAGTCAAGAATTCGGACTCCCTGCCGAGTCGCGTCACGAGACTCACAGAGTCTTGAGCTCTGTACGTGTCCGTACAGTCTCCGTATCAGTTGAGGGATATGCATATGTATATAGCTTTTATTTTGAAGTAGAAGAACAGTTATCAACGAGTATTCTGAGATGGAAGGCTGAAGCTAAAGCCGGTTTATGCTTGTGGTGGCCATGGGGTATAATTATCGTGAGTTGCAACTGAGCGATAACAGTGATAAGCTCAAATCCGAAGCGGGGTCATGTATCAGGAAAATGCCGGGAATCGTGTCGGGTGATGAACCAGAAACAATAAGACAATGATCTAAGCCTGTGATTTGCGGCTGAGATTGTCCCAGAGACGGCTTTCAACTGCAGGTCGAATCGATCCAACCGTGCTCAACTTAGACCACCTACTGTAGTCATGAACCGCCGATAGTCACTGCGTCACGGGGCTGGTCTCTTCCTAAACTTGGCCCGATGCGGGGGCGTTTCCTTTTCACTGGAACCCGTCACTCCGACGGGGAGCAGCTGCCTGATTCCATTGATTAGTTACAATACAGTACCTCCCTCCACCCTCAGCTCCCGGCTCATTCATCATCTTCGTTCCCCTTCCCCTCATCCCGTTTGTCCCTCTGCAGGAAAGTGATCTATCAACTGACTCTGTTTCAAAACTACTCGCCCACTTGCTCGGATTTATTGACTCCCCGAGTGCCACAACTAAACCATAATTAGATCGCTGGTCTGGACTGCAGTCTCCGCTTACTCCCAAGGTCTCCCACCGCAGCTGCTTATCATCACGACCACTCCACACCCTGGCTGGAGAGTGGCAGTCATCACTCTGCAAGATCACCTGAGAATACTTCTCTTTGAACTTTCTTACCTAGCCTTCTGACACAGTAATCGAAACCCCAACCCCATTCGCAAGGTGAAATAAACCTTTGTTTGTGCACGATAAGACAACCAAGCCAAGAGTATCTGCTAAGGGGGCTAGGACTCAAGCCCAAAGCTCGAGACCTGCTAACAAACCTCCTTTTCATAATTTTCTATCCACCTTGTCTCCTCTTAGTCCTGCTAGTGACGCGGTCGTGCACTTCTCGAATCTGTGACACTACAGTACCTTGACTGAATCGGGGGCAGTGGGCAGGCAGTCACGGATAGAACACCATGGGTCTCATATACAACGTTTACCTCACGTCCAACAAGATCTTCGGGTGCAAGGGTTGCAAAACCCATCTGGCCGATTATGACGACATCATCAGTCGGGTAAGTGTGCTTGATGTTCCCTTTTTCCATGTTGTTCGCCTCTTTCAGGTGCCGTGGCTGACCACGCCATCCCCCTTGTCTACAGAATTTCCGAGGCCAGCATGGCAAGGCATACCTTTTCAACAATGTCGTCAACGTCACCCAGACCGAGGCTGTGGAGCGGAGCATGACTACCGGAAGACATATTGTTCGCGATATTGCCTGCAGGCAATGCAAGGAGACGGTCGGTTGGAAATATGACAAGGCTTACGAGACGAGCGAGAAATACAAGGAAGGGAAGTTCATTCTAGAGGAGGAACTGCTGTGCGTCGTGTGCTGAGTTACCATCCCAAGGGTCTGGCCGTGGGGACCCTTGAATGATATGGTCATTCGCACGCTTGGCCTCTACAAACTACAAGTCCATGGGACTTGAGGATCTCACTGCATTTGCGCAGGTTGAAAGTTGAAGTGAGCGATTGTTCATTACTATCTTGGTTATTCTTTGAGCGATGTGACGGCGTCTAATGGAGCAATTACTTTATCTCTCGATTGACTTTACCTTCGGAGTTCTATCTGACACACAAAAGCCTTCAAGGTCATGGTTCGAATGTTGACATCAGGCAGTGTATGACCTGTGAGTCTGGATGCGTGGAACTCTACTGCTGCCGTCTGCTATTTTACTTTATCTACATAAGGTCTGGATGTGATAGAATGCCTTTTCTACCTACAACGGTCGCAACTCGTGTAATTCCGAACACGTTAGTGAACCTTTGATCACAAAATCGTAGAACGAGGTCCGCAAGGTCTGCAATATCATGTCCAATATCGAGGACCCGGGGAGACCGCATCGAGCTTCTCGTGCATATATATATATAAGTGCGTCACACGCAGTGGCCCGGATAATTACCCCTCCTCCATCTTCCTTCTCAAACACTACATACTGACTCGAGTACACCACATGTCACCACTAACCACAACCCAACAATATATAAGAAGATCATAACCCCTCCAACAACCTAATCGCCCCCTCCGTCCTTCCCTCATAATCAAACCCATACCCCCCTCCGCAATCCCGAACGCCTTATGTACAAAAATGGACCCACTAGCATCATCGACAAGCTCGGAAGAGAGGGGCATCCGCCGCATCGCCCGCGCCCGCACCGCTATCGGCCACGCCCAAAGACCACGGGGAAATCTTTTCCATTGCGTTCTCTTTCCGCCCGCCCGAAATCAGTCACCAGAGCCTCTGGATTTGAAGAATTACTGCGCCGCATATAGCGCACGGAAACATTCCTCGTAACCCGCCGAAACGAAACCGAATCAGACAGTCCAGAATGTCCGCTGACCAGAAGACGACCATGCGCGCGGTGGTGTTCCGCGGCCCGCTTAAGGTGGCTGTGGAGGAGCGCCCAGTGCCTCGGGTTAAGGAGGCCGGGGATGTGGTTGTTAAGGTCGCTTATACGGCGCTTTGTGGGAGGTGAGTTATTATTCATTGCTTGGGCGGTGGTTTCGGGGGAGTAAATGGTGATCTGGGCTGGATGGTGGATTTTGTATGCTTTGGCGGGGGAGGGCAGGGCATTGAGGTGCGGGTATCTGGGTTATATACAAGTACTGATTGGGTTGCGTTTTGTTTAGTGATCTCCATGTTTATCGCGGGATTGAGCCAGCCGGGCAAGGGGTTGTGATGGGGCATGAGGTTACTGGGGTGGTTGTGGAGGTTGGGGATGCGGTGCGGTCGGTGAAGAAGGGGGATTCGGTTGTTAGTGCTTTTACGACGTCTTGGTGAGTTTCTTCCCTTTTTCTTTTGGTTGATCTTGTGGTGGTGGTGATGGTCTGGGATAGGGGGTGATGAAGAGGTTCGGAGGCAAGGGGGTGTGTTGATATTGATGAAGCTATTGAGCGGGGGCTTCGATCTATATGCTGATACTCCACGGGTGATACAGCGGCAAGTGCTGGTACTGCTCTCAGGGGCACTCTTCGCGATGCGAACAGAATGTTCTGCTGGGGTGCGATGATTTGGATGGCGCTCAGGCTGAATATGTGAGTGTTGTTCACGGGTTTGAGGATGAACCGCTCTCTGGATACTAAGCGCGGTGGAAGCTGACCACGGCGCAACAGATCAGAATCCCCAATGCGGATGGCACGGTCGTCAAGACCCCCGAAGGTGTCGATGAGAAGCTTCTGGTGCTCATGGCCGATATCTTCCCAACGGGTTACTTTGCCGCGCGCAATGCTTTCAAGGCATCTACCCCGGAGCAGATTGCAGAGCAAACGGTCGTCCTCATCGGCTGCGGGCCAGTCGGGCTCTGTGCTTTGATCAACGCCCTCGAGTACAAGCCTAAGCATCTGCTGGCGGTAGACTCCATCCCCGCGCGACTCGAGCTGGCCAAGTCGCTCGGAGCCGAGCCCTGGAATTTCCAGACAGACCGGGAAGGCCTGGACAAACGCGTGCAAGAGTTGACGGGTGGGCGCGGCGCAGACGCGGTCATCGAGGTCGTGGGCTTGAGCCCGGCATTGAGGACCGGATTCGACCTGCTGCGGCCGTTCGGTACCATCAGCAGCGTTGGTGTGCACAATGGCGAGGTAGGCGACCCGGCGGTCTTTGTTCGAGTCATTGAAGCTGACTGGGATACGTGAATGTAGATTCCATGGAATGGCAGCGAGGCCTACGGCAAGAACCTGACGATCCACATGGGACGATGCCCTGTGCGTTCAGTTTCCGAGCAGGCCCTGCAGGTTCTGAAGAAGAACCAGCATCTTCTTGGGTACGTGTCGCATCGTTTGTTGATTCCTTGGCCGTGCAGCGGCTGACTGACTGACGGGTGAATTTAGGTTCATGGCCGACAAGATCATGCCCCTTTCGCAGGCGGTCGAGGGCTATGAGCTCTTCAATGCGATGAAGGTACAGAAGGTGATCTTCGAAGCCGATAAATAAGTTCTCCGCATTGCATCTAGTGAAGCAGAAATCTGTTGTTGGGAGCCCTCAATCAGATACTACCTTGGAAAGCTTAGACAACCACAGAGACTATACTCGAGGGGGAAGGGGATGTAGTCGTAGTAATCACATTAGCTGGAAAGTAGTACAAGCGAAAACGAAAACAAGCAGTGGCACCATGGCCATCGAGTCATCCGGGAGAATTCTCAGATCAGCAATCAGAAATCAAAGAGAGACAAGCAAACACCCGCAGGTAGGGTAGTTAGAAAGTGGGAGAAAGTGGTGGTGGTAGTATTGGTAGTCAAGACTTTGCCTCTGTTTTTTTCCCGCATGAGAGCGACCACTGCACTACTTACTACCAACCAAGTCAAGCCAGCCGCCCGCCCGCCGCCCGCCTTCTGGTCATTCACTCCAATCTTTCTTCCTGCCATTAGTTATTCTGCCTACTCTCTGTCTCTCTCTCTCTCTCTCTCTCTCTCTCTCTCTCTCCTCCCACCTCTTCCTTCTCTTCCTTCTCTTCCTCTCTTCTTCTTCCTCTTCTTCTTCCACCTTTCCTCATTCTCGCTACCACCACTTCTCTTCTTTTCCGTATCCCCCCTCCGTCTTTTCTCCCTCCCTCTCTCTTCTCATCTCCTCCCTCTTCCTCTTCCCTCTGATTCTTCATTTCTCCTCCCCCCTTCCCTCCTCCTTTCCGCCACCTCTTCTCCCCGTCCAATCCCTCTTTGTTCGTTCGCCCATCCTCCACCTTTTCCCCCCGCCCACCCAAAACCCCTCAGAATCGACCTCGTCACCCCCCCCCCTCTTCACCCCCATCCTTTCGATTCCTGACCCTCGTCGGTTTATCTCCACATTATCGCCCTCTTCTCTTCTCATCGACTTTTCAGGTAAGACCACCCAACCGCCTCTAGCTCATCGGGCGCGGAAATGGTTTTTCTTCGCCCATGACCCAGTCAGGTCTTTGCGAAAACAACCATCCCTCCGCGTCGGCCTCGGACATGAAGCTAACTGGCCAGGTGAAGTCCTTTCTCCGAGAAACTTGACTCTTGATCATCTCCTTGCCGATCCTCTTTTTCGACCTTCCACTTCCCAACATCATGGACGCCTCCGACTTGCACGAGAACCCCATGGTCGATGAGACTATGGCTGACGCCGTTGACATGATGGATGAGGGTGACATCGAAGTCATCCCCAAGACTGAAGAGGAATACGCCCAGTCCACGCTGACCCTCCGCGCTATCGTCTCCTCCAAAGAAGCCGGTATCATTATCGGCAAAGCCGGCAAGAATGTCGCTGACCTGCGTGACGCAACTGGTGTGAAGGCCGGTGTGAGCAAGGTCGTTCCTGGCGTTCACGATCGCGTCCTGACCGTCACTGGTCCTCTGCACGGCACTGCCCAGGCCTATGCTCTGGTTGCCAAGGGTCTTCTTGAGGGCGCCCCGCAGATGGGCATGGGTGGTGTCGTTTCCAACAATGGTACCCACCGTAAGTGAATTCGCACATCTCTGAGTCTAGCGTTTGCTTCGTTGGAGCTCTAACATATCAACAGCCGTCCGCCTCTTGATCTCCCACAACCAGATGGGTACCATCATCGGACGCCAAGGTCTTAAGATCAAGCACATCCAGGACGCGTCCGGCGTACGCATGGTTGCGCAGAAGGAAATGCTTCCTCAGTCTACCGAGCGCATCGTCGAGGTCCAGGGAACTCCAGAGGGCATCGAGAAGGCTATTTGGGAAATCGGAAAGTGCCTCATCGACGATTGGCAACGCGGAACCGGCACCATTCTGTACAACCCTGCTGTCCGGTCCTCGGTTGGCGGTACCAGCAGCTCTGTCAGCAACCAGAACACCGGCAATGGTTACAGCAGCCGCCCCTACAACCGCACCGGCAACGGTGCCGACTTCAGCGATCAGTCCGGCAGTTACAGCAGACGGTCCAACCCCGATACCAGCAACCGCGGTTACCCTCTTGTCACCGAGGACGGCGAGGAAATCCAGACCCAGAACATCAGCATCCCCGCGGACATGGTCGGATGCATCATTGGCAGGGGCGGAAGCAAGATTACTGAGATCCGTAGAAGCTCTGGAGCTCGGATCTCCATTGCTAAGGCTCCCCACGACGAGACGGGCGAGCGCATGTTCACCATTATGGGCAGCGCTCAGGCCAACGAGAAGGCTCTCTACCTTTTGTACGAGAACCTTGAGGCCGAGAAGACCCGCCGCAGCCAGCTTCCTCAGGAGTAAAGTCCTACCTTCCGACAACCCCTTAAGCACAAATCTCGCGCCACATTGCCACCACTCGAATCCTTATGCGCTTCCCTCCAGAGAACATAATCGCGCGATGTCTCCTTCTCGCTTGTGCTAATCACTTTGATTCTTGACGCTGTCTTTTTCTCTCTCATATGGTTTCTATCTGTGTTACCCTATAATCTCATATGTGCAGCTTCCTTGGTTTTACAAGAAGCAAGAACTTGCTAAGGTGGACCATGCATGCCTGTCAGATACCAGTATTACGTGATTGATCCTCGATGATCGCTTTGACTTGAAGAAAGAAGAAATGAACCCGAAATCGGAAGAACTACTACTACTACTACTACTACTACGGACGTTATGCCCCGCAGCTGATGCTGATGTTATGTTCCATCTATTCCATGAAACTTTCCTGTCGTCTTCTTGCTTCTCCTTGCTTGCTCCGTTGCTCTTTCCTCAGGGAAGGGCATCAGCATTTCTAATTCTTTCTTTCCTTCTTTCCCTCCTTCCTTCCCGCAAAAGTCATCACCCCCAAACCACCATTCATAACTTGAAATCCACTTTCCCCCTAAACCTAAACTCCCAAACTGTATTCATTCCTCTTTCCTCTCCTCTTACTCCCCGTGCTCGCTATATCTTACGTTCCTGTCTACTTATCTCCCCGAGCTCCACCATACATCAAGCATTTGGTCGCTGGACACCTACAAGCAAAGCAAGCAGTGAGATTGTCCTCCCGCTCTCCTGCAAATCATGCTACACGATTTGTTGTTTTTGTCGTGGCTCGATGGATCCCCTCATCTTCTGAATCTGTATACCAGGCCTGAAAGTCTATCTTTCGAAATGGAACAATTATGGAATGCAACCCTTCAAGCGGGAATAGTAACAGTAGCTGTAGAGGCTTCCGTAGCGTGTAGCTTGAAGTAAGAAACAACCTAGGTTTATTGGAGAGGCGGCCAACAGGAAAGGAAGCAATCAAAGTCTTTGCTCTTTGCATTGTAGACGACGAGGTCTCTTGTTGATTTTGTACATGTATGGTGTGGTATGTATGTATGTATGCATGTATGTATAAGGAACATGCTTGCGGGTCATTGTAACATGGAATCCAGTGTTGGAAGGGGTAGTAATAAGAAGGAATAGAGTGAACAAGCACAAAGTCATGAGTGGAAGGAAGAAGAAGAAGAAGAAGAAGAGAAAGAAAGATCTCAACGACTGGAAGAAAGAAAAGGGTCAAGAAGGAAAGTGGTGGACTAGAGATATCAAGCCCGTTGGTTCGGTCATGGGAATAGAACCGGACTCGGAAGTAGAATTCCCGGTTGTCAGGTTCCGTCCTTTATTCCCAAAGGGGGGTTTGGGACGTGATCATGAAAAGGAAAAAGACAGCGGATCAAAAGAGAGACGAGTATCAAGATGAAGGAACAAATCGCTCAGTCATGGCAAGAGAAAAGTGAATTCGTACAACGCATGGTAGACCTCAATGCGCCATGCATGCATGTTGCAACTACCAAGTTTGCGCTTGTGATCAGTCAGGTCAGTAAATCAGAATGTCCTCGTTACAGTGTCAAAATGCAGGTGGATAGTACTTCGTACAGACGTCTCATCGAATGCTCAATGGCAATTCTGGAAGAGTGAAAAATCAAATCATAAGAGAACGCCGGCTGAACTGAAATCAATCCATGTATGTACCAAGAATGAGGCGCTGCGTGATATAGTGTGGGTGGATGGGTGGTGTAAATGTGCCAATGACGCTGCCTTCTAATATGTAAGAGAGAAGAAGAGCCTCAATGGATTCAATCGAATCCGTCATCGAATGCATTCACAGCCTCGTCAGATGCGGCCATTGACCGCGGTCGAAGCCCAGATTTCCTGGTGCCTAGACTATTCGTTCGTAGTCTATTTTGACTAATCGGAGTATAGCTGGCAGCTAATTTACTCGAGGGTGCGATGATTCGGGTCCGAGAGGGTTCCTGTCGTGGAGACATGATGCCATCTTCATTTATACCATCGCTGGTGTGGGTGGCAGAGCTAAGCCCAGAACCTGCACCGTAACGACGAAATCCGGCTTGTATATTCGAGCGCGCAGTGGCAGGGGTGTAGCCGGGGGTCATCAAATTCCGGCGCAGAGGAATCGCAGATTGTGAGAGAGTTGGCGTGCGAGGCTGAGGCAGCTGGGACGGTTGAGGATGGGCTGAATATCGGGGGTGGCGTTCCGGTGTTGTGACCATTGGCTGGGACGCGGTATATCCATGCGACATGCGCTGGCGTGGGGATACGCGATAATTAGTCGCTGCGCTGCTGATATCCGCGACACTTCTTGCAGGCGAGCGAACCTGTGGGCTTTGTTCAGCAAGGGACTCGTCATCGGTGCGGTGTCGCTTGGTTCGTAACGAGGTAGATAATCGATTTAATCGCGGGACAACCGGTGAGCTGGGTGATTGGGTCACTTTCGCTTCTGGGACTTGTTCTCTGCCCTGGTCGCTATGCTGAGACTCCGGGGAGGGATTGTTGGCGGTCGCAAAGCTGGATCGACGAGCCTCCAAACGGCTAGCCACCCGTTTGGTGCTCTGTCGTCGAATCAGCCCTTCGGAATCTAGGGTCGTGCTTCGACGAAAGGACAGTGTCGGAGTCAAAGTGTCATCCTCGTTCTCGTTACCTTCCTCCTCGGCTTTACCGTTGACAACTAAGGACGATTGCCTCCGGTGTTGCTCGTCAGACAAGGCCAGACATAGCTCCGTTAGACTGCGACAAACGCTATCCGCTTTCCGTCTAGCCTGCCTATCAGACGTCCCATACCCGTTAACCACAGATGCAGTACCAGAGGGGGCCTTACTGGAGCCAAGCAGAGTGGACAGCGCCACCGCGTCGGTAGCGGTAACCTCCAGAGCGGCGTAGACTTCATTACTGAGCACGTCCTTTGCCTTACTTAAAGCCGACTGCAGGAGCGGATGAACAGGGCTGGGACCTGCTGACACCTCGGGCTCGCCCGAAAGAATGCTCGCCTTCCGCGGGCGCCTGGGGGAAGACGACACTGTAGTCACGGTCGTTGTGGCCGTTGGTGGTCGTTCCCCAGAAGCAGACGAGATCGCTTCCTGGGATGAGGGCGGGAGCTTCCCCGTCAGTTCTAGCTTCTTGATCCGGGATTTGAGATCTTCTAGCTCGTCCCAGACCGTCGAGGGCGCAGTCGTGGACAAAGTTGATTCCGTCCCATCCTGGCGAGACCGCTCGGCCTCAAATCGAGCGCGTTCGGTGACGTCCGAGCTGGATGGCTGTCGGCTACTTCGGATAGTTGAAAGATTCGATTGACGATAAGCTCGGGACTCATGGAGCGATCCGCGTCTTTCGGGATAGGATTCGGGGCTAAGGGATAAGGGTTCGGGACTGGACCGGCCCAGTCGACTTCGTGGTAAGCCAATTGCGGACCTCGAGCTGAGAGCAAAGGCTGAGCTGGACGGGCGGTTGTGTTCATCCAGTGGATGAGCGGAAGCTGAGTAAGAGTATAGTGCGGCAGTGTGGGGGGTTGACGGAGATTCTTGATGCGAACGCAAGGGGTGGTAGTAGCCGTCTAAGGGATATTGCTCAGAAGAAGGCATTTGTTCCGGAACACGAGAGGTCGATGAACGGAGTCCGCTGCCAGACATTCTGAATCGCGACTGTAAGTACCGGGATCGACAAAAATTAGCTCACAATTTATCAAAGCATCACTGACGAGTACACAGGCTATCAGCTCGAACTCACCCGCCGAAGGTCTGAGCGCCCGAGCGAATCGCGACGTCCAGAATCAGATCTTGCGATGTTCAAGAAGATGTCCTCGTTTTTGGTGCGGGTATCATCTGCGACCGGGGTCTTGTTGCCGTCTCCTGACTGACTATACCGATCGAGTCCATCGGCATTGCGACTGTCCTCATCGACCAGCGTTCGCCCTTGAGTGTAGGCCACCGAGGAGGCGGGCATTCTCTTGTTCACGTCTGGAATCGTCTGCTGATCACTAGGGGACGACTTTCGACGCTTGGTTGCATTTGGATTCGACGCGCGGGCGGTCGAGGAGGCGTCAAGGGGTAGGACGGGATCGCGATCCTTTTCTAAAGCCAGACGAGGCGATGGTGGTTGAGAACCAGGCCCCGCTGGATCGTGGACGTGGGACAACTGGCTGAGAGGAACTGACCGCCCGGGTCTGTCATACAAAAGGGTGCGTTGTTGGGGGGTCGGCGTTGAGTCTGGGCCCGGATGCGTGTCGTCGCTGTTCTGGGCGGAAGCGGCGGCGCTGGTGTGCGATGAAGTCAGGGCTCGTTTGCGAAGGGGGTACTTGTACTCGAAGCTGAAGCGACTCTGAGGAGGACGAGGAACAGCGGAGGGAGAAGAAGTCGGCAAAGCAGCAGCAGCAGCAGCAGCAGCAGCAGTGAAGGCAACGGAAGAGGAAGAACGGGAAGAAGACGAAGTGGGCGAGAGCAGACGAGAAGCAGCAGAAAGGGCAGCGGTTGTTATTGTCGGACGAGCTGAAGGGGAGTCGTCGTCGCAGGTGGTGCTGGCGGCGGGAGTCGCTGTCCTTAGCGCGGCCGCTCTGCCCGCCTCTCGGGGTTCCGCCGCCATCATCTCGTCTGTCGGGCGCATTCGTGGTTTCGACGTCGACGAGGGCGAAGTTTGGGTCTCGGGTGGACCCGATCCGGCGCTGAAGGTGACAGTCCTGGCACGATTGACAATGGAGCGGCGACAGAGTGATTCATGCGTGTCCTGACGTGGTACATGAAGATGAGGCTGATTCAACGCGGATTCGGTCTTTCGCCGTCGACGCGAGATGAGATGTTGGTCTGCTGGCGATGAGAAGGGGACGGAAGAGGTGTTGGTTGAGGAGAGAGAAGAGAAAGAGAAAGAGGAGGAAGAGGCAGAGGAAGAGGAAGAGGAAGAGGAAGAGAAAGAGGTTGATGATGAGGGGAGAAGGGAAGGAGCGGCGGCTGCATTGCCAGCAGCAGTGAATGCGTCTGGGGACATCTGCAGTTCTGCACTGGTGGTGGTCAGGCATCCACACGCATCTCGTTGATCAATCAGATCGATCACGCTTGACCAGTCAGAAGGAAAAGAGAGTGCATGTATGATGGAGGACAAGAAACTCTCTAAACCAAAGCAGGGAAAACAAGCAGAAGGGGAAAAAAAAACCCCCAAGAAATTTCTAATTTCACATCGGTTGAGAGCAACCAAAAGACAATATGATTTATCGGTTATGGTGGACCGAATGATGATCAGAATGAGAGAAAAGTCTGCAACGACATCAATCTCTTCGCCTATAACTACTAATAATAAACTAACCACTTAGTTCTGCGGCTCAAGGGGAACGAACGCGAGAGCAGCCAAGAAGGAATAAATAGACCAAACACCACGAGGAGAGTGAAAGGTGGTGGTGGCTGGCCGAACTGCTTTGCTGAGAATACACAAACTACGAAGCCTGTGGAGCTACTGGCTGGCTGGCTGGATCCCGTCTTTACTACTACTTTCCCCTCCAATGCTTCGGAGATTTCCTATAGTCAGACAGACGAAGATCATGACTGACTGAAGGAATGAGTATTGGTGATATCATTTGCCCGTGCCCGACTAAGCGGGCTGAGAGGATTATCCCGGTTTCATCTGTCTGCCTTGGCTGGTTACAATGCCAACTGAGGCCGTCCTGGTGTAAGAGAAAGAGTCTCAAAACCGGCTGCGGGAGATGCACAAATTTCGGCAGACACCAGCAGGTGTACAGATTATCAAATTCAATGCAGGTTTCTCTAGCAACGTCCAGGGGCTGAAAGAACCGTGGTTCGCAAGTTGCAAACCCTGGTTCTGGCAGTGTCAGCCTCAGCCAGACCAGACATGGAGTTCCCTTCGACCAGCCGAACGGCACATACTTGACCCAATCGCTGAGGATGCGAACAAAGAAACAAGAAACACGAGGATGTTTAGCCCGGATACCGCACACAACTGCTGGCATTGTCTACATCAAAATGTGTTTTGGCTGCCTGCAATCGTGCAAGTCTACTACTCAGAGCTCAGATGTCTTTCATCTCTTCTCACTTACCCCATCCGGGCAGATTGACTTATCGTGACACTCGAGATAAGATATTCTGTGCCGTCACAGTTTACATAGCCCTTCAGACGCGCAGCCTAGTGGGACATATGACATGATCTAGTCTCAAGTCGTCAATGAGAGGCGCCTGTCGGCGATTGTCTCTGCAGGGTCCTGGCCCTTCGTCAGAGAGCCTCGTATAGTATGGACGATCCTTTGTGTCTACTACACTGCCAGCCGAATCGAGTCCAGACCCAAAGCCCAGGGACTCAGCATCCGCAACTCCAGCACAGACTAGCCAGAAGAGCTCTCCCTAGCGAAGAGAGCCTCATGAGGTGAAAGATGAGCTCAACGTTAGCCTCCGGACTATTGGTGCTCGGGTGTTTCGTCTTTATCCCAGCACTAAATGGCTCGAATCCGACCTAAGGTCGGGGTAGCTCGACTAAGGCGCCGTCACGCAAGCCGTCACAGGTCGGACAGACGCTAGCGACGACAGTTTGTGAAAGAGGCATTGGTGGCAGCGGGGAGCCTTGCTTGATTCTCGTATCGAGCCCTGCTATTTACACTGCTGCCCATAACATTTCCGATTTAGTTGCTAGGTAACACATGAGACTGTAACAGTACTGAGAGTACTCAACTTTCGGATCTGGGATGACTGGGTAAATGAGACGGGATGGTTTCGCGTGTTGGTTGGGAACGCTTGGTCTAACAGCCGGGGACTCGGAGTTCAGCCAGATTGCAAGAATTTATCTGTGGGGAACTTCCTATTTGGACTTTGGAGACCAATATGTTAGAGACCATTAGCATTTGGTCGGCGGGAGCGTTTCGAAGCTTTAGCGAGTCATAGCTTCTTTAGGGTTCAGGCACCAGAACGGCTCGGCCAACTAGCGTAGCGAGAGTCCCGGACGAGGTTCTGTTCTGTTCACGAAGAGCATTCAGCAAGGTGGTAGAATTGTAATGGAGATGCCACAGACTGTGCGTGTGAGAACATGGATGATTTACCGGCCGAACATCCCTTCTACAAACAAGAAGGATTAGATAGTTAGCCTGGGCCGGTTAGGTAAAAGACGGGTAGGCTCAGCAACCCGCAATCAAAGCAAGCCCCCCACATTAATCACCGATGTGAAGCCGAACGGGCGGTCCAAGTTGAAGTGGTTCTGCTTCTTGAGCCATGGCATCTCCCTGGCCCCATAGTCTCAGATGGACGTTTTCTGCCACGTGGAATCGGGAGTAGAGGGGTCGAGTTTCATCAAACCTCTCTCAATCCGTAACATTGACCTAGGCCCCGTATATTGAGCGAGGATAATGAGTCAGCGCAAAAGGGATGGCGAGCGACGACCCGGATTTCTATTTCGGACCGCGGGGAAGTGATTATCGGGGAAGAAAAGAATAGCCGATAGACAGGATGCGGTCAAGAGGATTTGCACGGGATTGTCATCCAGCGTCTCATCTCCTGGAGTTAACTGACGAAACAAGCCTGTGCCATGATCCAATCATGCACTACAAGTAAGAGCCGATCGCGTCAAACGTAGATCATGGCTGCAACCCTGTTGCAAAGCAACTGGTTCTCGATTTTCTGTCATGTCAAGAGTTGAGCAGAGAAGAGCCCAGGGCCCAGAGCGCTACCAGGTGCGCATATCAAATATCGATCTGTGACGTAGCAGGTCATACCCGGTGTCTTGGATCTTGGAGAAGAAGTTCTATTGCAAATCTGCAATACGTTGGTAAACATCCAGGTTCTCCATTTATAGTGGATTTATGAAGAATCTCGAAGCATTGATTCAGAAATATCATACAGACTGGGTACTCCGTGGAAAGGATTGGAAGATCATGTATATCTGAAGCATAACCGATCAGGCGGCCCGTCACCAGAGCCAATGGGTGAGGATACAAGGAACAGGAATTGTGACAGGCGATGTTGCACACGTGATGGGAGGATGGAACTAGTGGCTTAGCATTGGTTGGTGTGTTTCGAACTGCTGCTGCTCATTGGACTGGCTTAGCGCCGCACCCTCTCAGTGTGTGTTTCAGCTGCAGTGTGCCACTCACTCATCTCATCATTCATGCGTCTCCGTCTCAACTTCCCCAACCTTTCCAGGCTGAAACTGTTTCGAGGGGTAGGGGTCGGGGGCGGAGTCAAGGGCTTTTCGTTTCTTATTTTCCCCCCCTCCTCCATGGATTGAGGAGGTATCATGGGGTATTTCGCTTGATCGCTAAAAGACAAAGTTATGTTCTTGACCCTCTCTGCCTGCAAACTTCAGAGTGGCCAACATACCGTTCCTGACTCCCCTGACTCGGGCAGTATTCCTGGCCCACTGCCTAGACCAGACGGTCCACTGTTTCCAGGGGAAACTTGCCTGGGTGGGCTCAGTGGAGAGACAGTCAGAAAGACTAGCAGTTTTGAGCACTAGCTCCAGTCCGTTAGCCTCTGCGTTTCACCTTTGCTACGGGCCCAGAGAGCCGCTGCCAATTTTCCAAGCCTCGGCGCCAGAGAGAGGTCCCTGCTGAATCGCCCTCCGCATCTACGTAGTGAAAAAGCGATTCATGCCTCGCCTCCCCTCGGGCTTTACTCTAGTTCTCTTTGCTTTGCTTTGCTTTGCTTACCCTCTTCTTTCTTGTTCTGCCGTGTGGTTGTGCTCTCCTGGTGACCGTTGACTGATTAAACTGGACTTCTTCTCAAGCTGGCTTGACCAGAACCCTACCTCCATCCTGACAAGCAAACCCAGCGGACAAACCTCTTTTTCTTCTTCTTTTTACTTTCGTGCGAGAACCGTGCACGCCCATCGAAGCGGGTCAATATCTCCCAATACGGAATTGATTTTGTGCAATCGGTGCTGGGATACCGTCTCCTTAGATTGTGACCAGTTATTATTAACCTCCTCGTGGGTTAAGCAGACAGATACCTCTCTGTGCGACTTCTGGAAGTCTTCTTGAAGTCTTCTTTTCCTGTCTGCAATCCCAGCGTTCATCGCCTTTCTGCTTTCGACTATTTGCGGTTGACTCCTCAGAGCAACAGCTGCTGTGCAACGACCACCGCAGCCCGGACCCAGTATCGCCCTGGTATAGATCCGGATCTGCCCACCACATCGACCTGGCCTGGCACCTGTCAAAGATCAAAGGGGGCTTCGATAATTTCCAGGAGAAGGAAGCAGCTTCATAGGTATGTCTGTTTTTGAGTTCGTTTAAATCTAGTGTTCTTGTTTATCGTTTCATGCTTTCTTTTGCCCTATCACCCATGGACTAGTTCCATTCTATTGCCCC